TTTATATACAGTGAGTCAAATTGGACAGGACTGTGGTGTGAAAATACGTCCATCTTCGAACCTTGTCAACTTCATTAAGGTTTGTGACGGACCAATATATTGTCACTTTTCCTTCATCGCACGTGTGTGTGGATTGGGTTATTTGGATAAACTTACTTGATAGGGAGGGATATTTTTAAAAAGTTTTTCCAGGCGTTGGGAAGACTTTCTGGTTAATGGGGATAGAATCATTATCAATGGCATCACTATATTTGTGCACTGATTTTTTCAGTCAAGTTTCCATCATGTACATTTAATAAGCATTCACAAAAGTGACATTAACCAGGTGAAAAATGAAAGTTTCTTACAAGTCACAGTACTGGCACTACAGTACCACTGCTCCCACCACTATCACCAATAATATGACAAAAATTTGTCAATTGACATTGATTTGTTAATCAATGACAAAAACAATTCTCTTTCTCACAACCCCCACCCAACATAGCCAGCACTAGTACCGTGAACACCAATGCGGTATTCACCAGTACCGCAGTAGAACACCTCATTGGTGTTCTACCAATGAGCAGAACACATCATTAGTGTTCTACCAATGAGCAGTAGAACACCTCATTGGTGTTCTACCAATGAGCAGAACACTTCATTAGTGTTCTACCAATGAGCAGTAGAACACCTCATTGGTGTTCTACCAATGAGTGGTGGAACACTAGTGAGTAATACTAGCAACAAGATCACCAAGTGCAACAATCACATATTTCCATCAGAATCAGTTCTTGTAGAACCAAATAACCTACACCTGGCAATTGGGACAATAGGTGTCAGAAACATAGCTACCTGTCAGTCACTACCCACACCCTCACTCTTCAAAGTCTCACTTTCCTTGCCGAGTACTGTAGCTTATTTAAAAATATTGTTGAAATTCACTATTTATAACATATTCCTCTTCATCATTAAGATCTTTCATCTCCTGCAAAGCCCTTCCAATTTTGCACGGTATCAATGGTTCTTAATTTGTTGTATTGAACCATTCACCAATTGGAAGGCAATGTGCCACAGTGTGCCACTGTTTACAAAGCCTCTCATGACATTTGTCAAATGTCAGGAGAGGCTCACAGAGGTTGATTCACTATTATTTGTTTCACAAACAATAGTGAAACAAAGGAAAGGAAACCCCTAAGGAAAGCTAACCCCACTTATCTCAAGAAACAGTGATGGTCTTTGTAGAGTAGTTAAGTAATTGGTACTAGACGCATGAGTGAGGCAGATACCAACCAGTCATTTTTAATAATTTTAACATACAGTGTATTAAAAATTGGTGTTCTCATATATAAATTAATATTATTATACATAAAAATTCTATGTATAGTTAGGCACAGTTTAGGTTAGGTGTTTAGGTTCTGTTCACGATTATTGTTATTTGAAGTAAGAGGGTGAACCATTTATAGAATTGTGGTTCGAACAGAGGACGTGAGCAAAGCACTTGATCTAGAAGTGTTCGGATGTCATCAGTTGTGAGATGTGTGTAAACCGTTTTTCATTCATAAACGGGGTTTGGCAGCTGGATAAACAAGCTTAGATCTTTGTATGCGAGAACGGGCTACAGGTATGCAGGATGATGACCTGAACTGCCATCTGGTTGTGTATTTAGATACTAGTGCACAATTTGTTGACATTAGACAAATTACTGCTTGTTTCAAACTTTTCTCTCTTTCATCAACACACGCAGTTTGTTATGCTTAGCCATTACTTTCCCTCCAGTTTGACTTAGTTATGAGATTAATCCCAGATCCCCCATGCTCCACTTGCCTCCACAAGCACACCACTCTGGTCCTGGCATTGGGTAGACCTTCGCAAATACAGTGGCATCATACTTTTGTGAATATCTCAGTGGTACTCAAGCCAATGCATCAGGGAGCTACTGAGGGACAGGTCAGATATATGATAAGAACTTTGTCAAAAGATATAATTAACACTCCATATATAAAAGACAAGGAGGCAGGGCTAAAAGAGCCAACTTCACTCCCCTGATGTCACTGGTCAAAAAGCAGATATATAAATAATGATTCATTTTCAAAAAATAATTTGTTTGTTCTTTTCTACTGCATAATGGCTCAATCATTTGCACACACATGTATACAAACAAAAATATGAAAATAAATAACTGCATAATGTAGAAAGGGTTATAAACTTTTGCAAGCTTAAGAAATGCAGTGCACACCTGAAATTATTTATCCAATATATTTTAAGTCTATACTCAAGAATATTATTTTACAAACATTACGAACAAGAACACAGGCCTACCCACCTCGTGAATGAAACATGAAAAATAAAATGCAAAATTTAAGAAAGTATTTACGGTCGTGAAGATAATGAAAACCGTGTGTTTATACATAGCACAAATTTCACCGACACCAGACACACTACTGACTTCATACGAAACCAGAACACTGAAATGTTTCGAGAGATTATGTAAAAAAAAAATTTGGATGAAAAAATGCTGAAGCGCTACACGGAGTTTCATCAAGGATTTTGAATGCACTTATAAACCATAGCAACCCACTATATATTATTTTCTAGGCATCTTTGCCAGCAGGAATCCTTATGTACATTTGAAGAAGTAATTGCCAAAGTTGATAAAAACAAGGACAGAATGCTCATTCAACCAGCATGGAAGCTAAATCACTTAGAAAAATTAATAAAACCTGAATGGGAGGAATATCTCAATAGTAGTAACAACATACTCTAATAACAAACTGATAGTTTGGTTTTCAAACTGGAAGTCCATACGTATTGACACAATTTTATATGGCTGGGAACATAGAAAGGAACATGGCTGGGCATATGTTCATCTACGGCACCAGGACCTAAAAACGATGCTTCATAAAGTCCCTCAAAATAAACTGTTCTGGAAGTTGGAACACACAAGTCATTCAAGTAAGGTGAAACATTTCCTAACAGATAGAAATACTGTACAAGAGAATAGAACTGGATTAATGTCACCAGGCAAGGCCCACGAGGATCATTACTAGTCCCACTAATGTTCATTTTCTATATAAATGGTCAATCAAAATTGATACAGTTATGGGATCATGCTTTCAAATGATGCTAATATACTAGGAAGAATAAAATAATTAATGCCTCATGCCATTCAAAATGACCTTAGAAAAAGAAAAAAAAAAAAAACACATGGCAAATGGAATTCAATGTGGATGGGATACATACATACATACATACATGCACACACGTTCATTTAAACAACCTACCAGAAGGAATATAGAACAATTTGAACATGTTTGCTGATGATGCTAAGCTACTTAGGAAGATAAAATGCTTAGATAATTGTCATGCCCTTCAAGATGATGTGAACAAAGTACAATACAGTACGTGTAAGGAGCAATACATGCCAAATGGAATTCAATGTGAATAAATGCCATGTTATGGAATGTGGAATAGGAGAAAAAGAGGCCACACAGCATACAAATTATGTGGAAAGGCATTAAAGAACTCTGACAAAGAAAGAGATCTAGAAGTGGGTCTGGATAGTAGACTGTCCCCAGAGGAACATATAAAGGACGTTGTGAAGAGCATACACTATGCTTTCTAACTTCAGAATTTTTTTAATTCATTGGATGGTGAAATACTAAAGAACTGCTCATGACTTTTTTGAGACCAAAACTGGAATATGCAGTACTGTAGTTGTATGGTGCTCTTTATCTCAAGAACCACATCAATAAGCTGGAAAAGGTGCAAAGGGAATGTTACAAAATGACTTCCAGAAGTGAGAAACAGAGTTATGAGGATAGGCTAGATGTATTAAATATGCCAAAGCTAAATGCTTGAAGAAAGAGAGGCGATATGAACACCATTTACAAAATAATATCGGGAATAGACCAAATTTGCAAAGAGAAATTCCTAAAACTGGCAACCTCAGGAACAAGAGGTCATAGGTTCAAAATAAGTAAACAAAGGTGCCAAAAAAATTACAGTTTTCTTTTGTAATCAAAGTGGTAGATGGTTGGTATAAGTTAAGTATGAAAGTTGTGGAGGCTAAAACCATCAGTACTGTAGTTTTAATGTGTTATATGACGACGAGTACCGGGAAGACGGGACACAAGCGTAGCTCGTGTCCTGTAACTACACTTAGGTAATTGCGCACGCACGCACACACACACTACCTCTCTAGAGATTCATATATACATACATGCATACAGTGCTGTACATATATACAGTATACAGTACATCTGAAAACTCTTGACCCTTGAAGGCTTCTAACCCGGTCAGCCAGGGTCTCCATGCCTCCAGCAGTCCAGTGCTGTAACCACTCAGCCAGCGATTGTCTAAAAATGTTGGGAAGTCGTGAGACCTACCTGCACCCAACACCTGACAACACTCGTAGCATTATTGGGCACATATTTCATTAAGTCACTTCAACATGTTAAGGCCGCATGAGCGCACAATTGATGCCCGTGTAACCTTAGCATGTTGAGGGGAGTTGATGAAATATCTGTGCCCAATAATGTTAGGAGTGTTGTCAGGTGTTGGGTGCATGAAGGTCTCACGAGTTCAACACTTTTAGACAATCGTTGGCCGAGTGGTTATAGAACTGGACTACTGGGGGCACGGAGACCCTGGCTGAACGGGTTCGAATCCTTCAGGGGTCAAGAGCTCTTGGTTGTATATTGCCTTGGGGACCATTCAAGCTTTACGCACAGAGTATACATGTATACGAAGAGCGACAAATTTAAAGCCTAAGGTAACCAGACTTTGTAGCTCGTGGAAAATCAAAAGAATTCAAAGAAAATAATATGAAGCTGGTTGAATATTATAAAGAGCAAGAATTCAGTATCAGCATCATACAGAACACTACAACAAGAAAAAACAAATAAATGTATGTGGCAAATACCAGCAAGGACAAATACATAGCTAATAATTAAATATGGCACACAGGATTAAACAAGTAACAAATCATAAAAATCAAATTTATTTTAAAAGAGTGGACCTACCTGACCAGTCTGTTGTTCCTAGCTGCGGTTCTTCAAACTCGAGGGGTGGGGGGAGTCCCAACACTTCATGCTTCATATAGTAGTGTGGCTGGAAAACATAAATAATCAATGTTTTTTAACCAAACCAAGTTAACAACAATTTAGATTTTTGACAGCAATGCATATATGATTAACAGCTGCAATCCTGATGCTTCTGCTGCAAATCAGATTACCTCCCCAACCCAAGTGTAGCTACCATCAAAGGTGCCTCTCTGTCTGGGCAAAATTTGCCTTTTAAAATGATACATTTGCCTGAAAAAGGAAAAGGCAAAAACATACAATATGTAACTTAAGTTGTGTGTGTGTGTGTGTGTGTTTTGCGCACATCTAGAGGGAACATTAAGGCCTGTTGGTTACCCCAACTTTATCCCTTGGCTTGACCTCCATCCCTTGGCTTGCCCCCTAAATATAGTAAGAATTATCATAAAAATATCCTTTTGTAACGCATTATAAGTAACATGTTAACTTTCCTTCATATCACAAGTGATTGTTCATTATAACCTCTAATAATTATAATGTATATGTTTTTGACTGCTCTTTAGACCAACAAACCTATCTACACTATCCAATCCTAAATAACATGAAAGATGGGAAAAACAGAATGTTTAGTAACACGTATCTTTAAAAAAAAGGGGGGGGGAGGAGAAAGATGCACCTTTAGCCACGCTTGCACACTTTCTTTTCTTTTAAAGTTGCACACGATAATGTGAAGAGATGCTTTATCTCCCTCACTGCCGGCCTTATCAAGACCCCCTCCTTTTTTTTTTTGTTTAACAGGAATTTTGGGGCCTATGTGTACATACTATAGCATGCAGTAGTATGGATCATCAGGGTTGCCCTGTACTACACTTCAGTAAACCTATTATCAAATACTGCATTTAAAGACTAGATTGTGGTGTCATTTTATAGATAAATAACTTCTTTCCAGTCACACCATATTTTGCTGTAAAAATTTTTAAACGAAAACTTTCCTAGGTAGCCGAGGACCAGCAAATTTAATCTAAATTTGTGGTAATGTTATACATTTTTATTTGATTTCAAGAAAAAATTATATCAAAACCAGACCTGTGTCTAGGCATGGTAAGTTACCCCAACTTCCCATAGTTGACTTTCATGTGTAACAGTGAAAGCTTGTGAGCACTACTAAAAATCATGAAACTTAGAAGTGGCACCAGGGAGCTGTTACTGGGCATCATCATCCAACCATAAATAACACCAAGATTCTTTAAATGTGCTATCACTGGTTTAGCATCTCACGTTTGATTATTATTATTATTATTTCTTATTACCTTACTTGTAATTTTTCATACAACCCAGACGCGTACTCTGTCAGCGCCTGAATCTTGCCAGACTTCCTTGCCCTATTGCGGCCAAAATATGTCCCCTATGATATTTTTTATGATTTTTCCCATGGACAGGGAACTCATTTTAACAATCTTAGATAAAATCAAATTTATTTCATTTTCTTGTGCACAGCGGTGTTGTCGGCTATTAGCAGCAGCGCCGCCCAGGGGTTACCCCTCAAACCGCGCATATCATATATAAATGATATCAGTGACAAAACCGAAACCGCGCACATCATTTATATATGATTTCGTGTCTAGCGCTATAATTTAAACGCCCCGCCTGGGATAGGGGCAGCTATAGTACAGCCACGACCGATAGTTGCCAGATGCCACCTAGAAAAAAAATCCAGGCCAACATTCTTGGGTGTTACAGCGTCAGTATTGAGCAAGCAACCAAGGCTGGCGCACGCAGCACGAGCTCACAGCACCGCTGTTCAGCTTGTGACCACAGCATCGCCTACAAATACCATAATATAAATGATACTGCTATTATTTAGCAGTGATAGTATTACTGAAGCCCCCTGACTGTGATAAAACTGACCAGGATTCTGATAATAGCAGGATTGTGGTGATATTTAGCGCTGTGCTCCATGGAGGGAGGGTTGTGGCGTCGTCTTATGACTGTGTGTGGCCACCATTTATTGACTGCACTCACCATACCAGCTTAGTGGTTCGCCATGGTGAACACAAATGTAGATACTTATATATAACGTGTGTATAGTGTGAGATAACAGCGAGAGGAGTAGGTTGGGAGCCGCCATTTTGGTGAGGGAGGAGCGTCGTCTGCACGACTTGGCATGGTGTTTACTGATGGCCACTATGGTCTTTGGGCACCATACCAGCTTATTTTTTCAGGTATGGTGAATAAAACAGGTAGATATTTATATATAATGTGTGTATATAGCGTAATAACACCACAAACAATATTGTTGGAGGACAAATATTAGTGCGTCTGGCCTTGAGGGTGGCCGCCGATCAGCTGACTGTGTGAATAGCTACGTCTTATGGCCTTCACTCACCATACAAGCTTAGATGTACAGTTATGGTGAACAAAACATGCAAATACGTATATATAACGTCTGTGTATAGTGAATAAATACAAAAGAGTATTGTGGGAGGTGAATGAGGGTGAGTGAGGTGGTGTTGCGGGAGGGAGTGGCAGTGAGTGGCTCGCTGGTGTTTGGTGTTTCACTCCTCGTTGCTTTTTGACTCACAAGACCAACTTAGTAGTTCGTTATGGTGTACAAAACATGCAAATACTTATATATAACCTGTGTATATAGTGTAACAACAGCAAAACTATTTGTTTATTGTTTTATGAACATAATACAGTAATTGAATCACTAATATGCACACCATAATTTTGAGTACAGCGATGGTTCACACATTTTATAATATAAATATACCAGAATTCACTGTATGGAATAATATTACTGCAAAAAAAAACTAAGAAAAAATCAATCAGAGACATTGAAATAATTAGGTAATAATATATTTGTGGCAACTGTCGTCTGACAGCTCGGGCGGAGTAGACCTCGTCTGGCGAAGGCTCTGCCAACGCCCCTTTTTTGCCACACTTCCCTACCCTATTGCGGCTAAAATATGCCACCTACGATTTTTTTGTTATTTTTTCCCTGGTCAGAGAACAAAAATGAACACTTCTATAAGACGAAAGAATTTTTTGGAATTTTTTTTTTTTTGTTGCGCCTGTGGGTGTGAATTCTATTTGGGCCCCTAGCGGTTTGAGGGTTAAAGAGCATGACAATTGTCTAGGTTTCCTATCTTCCCTAATAGCTTATCATCAGCAAACATGTTCATATAATTTTGGATTCCTTCTGTAGATCATTTATATAAACAATTAGCATTACTGGTGCAAGAACTGAACCTTGTGATACTCCGCTAATGTACATGGGAATGGGTACACAAATAGAGAAGTCACCACCCATATCAGAAGATATTTAGAAAATGGTACAACAATGAACAACTGCAACAGCAAACCCCTTCCATAAAGCTCTTTTACAAATCCATTATGATTTCACACTATAAAAACAGAAGAAAATAATAAAAATACTGTATACAATTCCTAATGGAGTGAAATGACAATCCTAGACCAAAGAGTGGAATTAATTTTGAACTACAAAATAAAAAGAACTGCTGATTTGATACTTAATAACAGCCTCAATAAATAATACAACCCTCTCCAAAATGGAAACATGGCATACCAATTTACATGCCCCAATGAAGGATATTACCTTCGATCTACTTATATATGACCACCACAAAGCATTTGAGAAGTCTGACCTGCCATCTACAAGTTGGTGCACCTTGAAACATATGCAAAGTGTTAATGACAACACTCACTAGAAACGTGCTAGTAGACAATACAACAATCTTGTCATCCACTGACCAAAGAAGATTTCAAATCCTGGAAGCTTAACTCATAATAGAAAAACAACCCACCCTTAATATACAGAACGACTTTGCTATTTTGCCTACACTCGGATCCAGATCTCTCGAATCAGCACCTTATAACGATGACATCTCACCGCCCATCGCTTTGTTCGATGCTTGATTGGCTTCCTTCCCCATTATTCCCATGTTCCTTGCCGTAAGTTTGACTGCCCCTTTATTCCTCACTTCACCTCACCAGAGAAGGGTTCAATGGGCATAAAAGACAAATGGGTGAGAAAATCAACCCCAAGAGATTGAATATTATCACACTAAACCATTATCCTTATACATAAGGGGATTACCATAAAGCAACAACAGGGGGCCAAGGTATGACATGCCTCTGAGTTAAGGTCATAGCACTAGTCTTGGTTGGAGTTGGGGGTAAAACATGTCATCACAGTGACAACAAAGAGCGAGATCGTAAGATCTTTACCCTGAGAAAATTCCAGGGGAAAGGGAGGAAGGAAGATCATTTAAGGTTACCAGGAAAAAGCAGCAATTAGAATACTAAGTGTTCTAGAAAGACTTAGAAACACTAAGAAACACCATGTTAGGGGGAAACACCTTCATATTGTACAAGTCAGAGAAAGCAGGGCTTGTGAAGCAGAACTCCAGGAACTCACTCTAGCCACTCCAGTCCCAAGCCTCACTTTAAATAAACATCAGAAGAGGAAGCTTTAAAGGAAGAGCAGGAGGGGCCAAAATAATGCAATTGGGCTAAAAATGTTGCACCTCCACCAGGTGGCAGTATAAGCCTCTTCCAGGACAAAAAGAACAAATGGCTACAATGGAGGTATTTGCAGGAAATGTAGTACAAATGTAGACCTCTAAAACTTTACACTAAGTGACCCCGTATTTGATGATGCATAAAGCAGAGCGAAACAAACCAGAGTTTGGTTTGTCAGATGGCAGTGAAGAATAAATTTTTCAATTTTGTTTACATTGATTTGATAAAATATATTACAATTTAAACAAATTAATATTATGAGTTTTGCATGGGGTATGAGTTGTCTCCACACTCACATGGGAAATACATGAACTATTATATATGCAACTTTAGGACTAATAATGCTGATGCAGCATATGAGCATAAGAATCAAGGAAATTGCAAAAGGCCTAGTAACTCATACATGGCAGCTGCTTTCAAAATGCTATAAAATTATATAACAATACATATGATGCAAGGGTGCTGGAAGAAACACCCATTGACTACTATAACAATACAGTGCTGCATATACAGTACTCTATACACAACCGGGGATAGATTCCCGATACATCAGTTTTTTTTCACTTTATAGACAATGCCAATCTTCAAGAGAATAATCATGTTTTAAAGATTAAGTTTATATCCGTAACACACAAAAAAAGTTCTCCATTATTCAACCCAACAACAACAATATTAATATTGTCTTGCCACTTTTAATAAAGTTCAGCACACTGACACACTAGCAAAAGACCAGCTAGCCAAAGCGATTCACAACACGCCTCACCTTACCCGTCATCCAATTCCCCATGTTGCACGTAAAGGAGCCTTTCAAAGATATCATCTCCCAGGTTTTTGCAACAAACTGGAAAACGTTATGCTCACCTTTGCACTATGGGTCCATTAAAAAGAAATGTGAAACATGGAAACATGTCCGATATAAAAGCAGAGAAATTGATGTAACGATGACCAGATTAAGGCTGGGACATACCAAACTAGCAGCACACAGCTCTAAGTACAGAACAGACATCAATGAACTCTGTACTCACTGTCAGGTGCCTGAAACAGTCGAACACTATCTCCTGCACTGCTTCCGACATTAAAGTGCCAGAGTAAATTTCAAACAAGTCTTTATCGCACTTAAAATACCCTTCACCATCGAGCATATATTAGGAGGTGGCGACCACTCATTACAAGAAAAATACCAAATAGTCAAAGCACTGGCTAAATATCTGCAGTCGACCAACAAATTGGGTCACATCTGACCCACGCCACATTTATACCTGGCGCCACCAACAGCTAAACACAGAAAACAACCGCCTCATCGCAGCACCAAGGATCAGCTGACGCCATAAACACAACACACCGCCCTACAGTGCGGCAAGTCTCCCTACAACACACACCTCTGTTTTAATCACCGTTCCTCTATCTACAGCACAACGCAACAAGCACCTTGGTAGCTCCGATCATCTTCAACATAAACGCGTCCAACATCAGTACTGGTGCAGTCATCGGGAGGACAAACCCTTCATGCAAACTGCACCTACTATCAACAAGAAGAAGAAGAAAGACACACTGCAGGACAGCATGTCAGGACAGCATGTTATCATGCAGCAAAGGACTGGCTTGGACGACACTTTCTTACGGCTGTGCGAGGAACAAATTTACATGCAACAGGACAGTCATGTGTGCAAGCACACTAAAATGCACTAGTAACTAATAAAACTTGTTGATGGCGTAAGGAATGTGATGTGGGTCTCAGAGAATGTTTCAGAGATTACCTCACATTCTGAATTATAAAACAGAACTGAACACTCGTGTACATTTTACTGTACATGTAGGCCTATGTATGCTTATGATTAGTAGAATACTCAATTACTGCTTTTATCCAACTGTAGTGACTTCAGTACCCCCTACAACATGACAGATAAGGGAAAATGGCAGAGGAGCTGGTGTGAGAAAACCGACCAGCCTGAAAGCTACGAGCAGATAAACACGAGACCAGGCTCTGCCCTCCCCCCCTCTTTCGGGTTTGTATATTTGTTGAATATATATATTATAATCAGTAACTTCCATTTCCTTAACCCTTGTCTGGTGGATATTATGACACTAAAGAATGTTACTATGTACCATATACATATATTGCTGAATCTGCATACATGTAAACAAGTTATCAACACAAACACCATATTGTGCATTCTAGGAAGTGAAGAAATGAATATAAACATCCTAGTTGAACAATGGAATCCTCTCCTGCATACCTTTCACAGCTTACCAAAAGAGGATGATATACTGTACAGTATTTATTGTTTTACCCCTGCACAGGAAAAGTGACAAATTTGATGACAGCCTCAATTTGAGGGTTAAGATGAATGCCAAATCAGAAAAGGGCATTGGAACTTTTAAAAATGTTACCAATGATTGTTTATGCTACATGCTCTCAGTAAACTTTAATAATCCTGATGAAATTGTTTGCTACGAAATGAAAATAAACCACTTCCTACTAAAAGAACTAATTTATACAGTATATGGTGATTATCCAAGCAACTGGACTGCTTTGGTGGCAACAGCATTGCATCACTCTCGGCTGTTAAGGATAGATTTATCCCAAAACCCATAGAACACATGCAAGGTTATGTATTGTGTACAGTACAGTAAAAATGTGTAATATATAATTACAGGGGTACCGTAAAAATCACAATAAGCTGTTCCCATTAAATAAATATAAAATAATCATGAAAGGCACAAACTATGCTACCAACAAATACAGTACACAATATGTTTATTGCTTACATGAGGAGGAGATTGTAGGTGTCTGAATCCTGGCCTTGACATGGCCGGCTGGAGTGCAGTAGAACGACCTCGGTTGTGGGGGAAGGGTCGACTATAATGTGGTGGCGAGGCATGATCAACAGAATGTGTAGAAACTATTGCAAGAGGATCATACACATCAGCATCAGGTTCCAGGTTTGCAAGGCCAAGAATGTGGTCATGTTCTTCATCTTTGGAATCAGCCATTATGCCCGTAAAATCAACTTCTTTCTCATCCTTATCGGTTTCAAACATTTCTAAAACATCCGTTGACGCATGAAGTCTTAACAATATAGTACCCTTTGCTAGCAATACTTCTTGTAGTTTATGAGAATCCCAAAGACCATGTCCATTCTTCACTGGTGTAACTCTAATAATAACTTTCTTTGTACCCTGCGCTTTATTATCCAAATCACTAACTCCATTTTCAAATCTCATCCTCTTGGCACTAGGTCCATTATCATCATTAGAATCATTATCACAAACATCTTCCACTATTTGTGGTGCAGAAGCACTAATGTCAGTCAACTCTCTGTCTGTTTCCATTTCCTCATCAGGATGAAAATCAACTACACCATCAGCTGCACCAATTACACTGTTAATCACCAAACCCCCTATACTGTCTGCTTCATCTGCACTGCTGTCTATTAAGGTCAGATCAGCAGCAAAGGACGGATCATCCAGCACAGAGGCTTCTTGAACTTCTTCTAAAGGTTGTAAGCTACTGCCAATTGTAACTGGCTGGAGAGGTTCTGTTCCCAGTAATGGCATGGTACACACATTTGAAACATTTGACTGCGGTGAAGATAATACTGACGAAGATATTAAATGACTACTAACTGCATTATTTGAAATGACAGTTGAATGTTCATCATCATCTTGGCTTAAAGTGTGTGTATCAACTATTAAGGGCATTGTCTCCATGGCTGATTCTTCTCGAGAAGAGTCCACATCATTCCAACATTCGCCCGATTCATCAACTTGCATTTCTTGTTCACTATTTACAACTGAGGAATCATCTAAAATTCTGTTCACACATGAAGCTCCTTCACTTTCAAGCTTTTCATCCAAGCTGATACATGTATCTGCTTGTAAATTTAGTTCACAACCTTCTTCTGTGCCACACACGTAATCCTGTTTTTTGCTTCTAATATTGAAGCACTCCTGGACATCCTGACTGCCACTGGACTCTGAACCAATTTGAGTCAATTCAGCCTTTTCCTTCAGGGAAGGCATTAGAGGGGTACTAATATGAGTTTCTGAGGACTGTTTTGATGAGTATGGTAACTTGGTGTCAACAGTAATAACAGACGAAGATGAATTTTTGGTTGAAGGAAGAGGGAATATCACATCTGTTGAAACAGAAGGCAGTGGTGATGGATGGTCAAACAATACAATGGGCAGTGATGCTGGCTCCTCCCTTGTATCTAAAGGCGATTCCAGTTCACCTTCAGATGGAGAGGAGAATTTTAACAAATGAGGTTCTTCAACAGTATCCAACGTGAGACATGGCTTAGATGGCATCACATCAACTACAGAGCATTTTTGCAATGGGTCTATGTCATCAGGTAGTATTTTTTCCGATTGTAATGAAATATCCGAGAGCAATTTTTCATAAGTTTCAGTTAATTCTTCAGTTTCATCCGGTGACTTTTCAGTTAGGGCTGAAACCACCGATGAACATTTCTCGCCTGCAGCTATAGCTGCAGAAAATGTTGTAAATTCACTACCTGCAAGTTCACCTTGTTTTTCAGGTAAAGCAGTACCAACAGTTCCTTCTTTTTTAGCTGGGAATGCAACAGAATCTGCCAACATCTCAGTCATGGCTTCAGCTATAACTATTGACTTCTCTGTTGAGGATGAAGATTTATCTGGCACTTTTGCTGATGTTTCAGGCAGAGAAAATGGATTTGTCTTGTTAAATTCACTAATACCTATTTTAACTGAGGAAACTGAAGTCAAAGATGGCTCCAGCTCAAGAGGTTCTGAAACCTCTTCCAATGCCTGTTGCAGAGAAACTAAAGTATTAATTTGTGCATCTTCATTTACAGCTGATTTAGTTTCTGAATCACGTGAGGCTACCTCAGATGGCTGACTGCTAGAAATATCAAGCGGTACCAAGTGATCAGGTCGCAACTGCGGTGAAATGGATGGGACAGCGCTTATAATTGGTGTCTGAAGCGGCAGTGTAAGATCACGTTTAAGTGCATTATTAGACAGTGCTTGTTCCCATTGCTCTGAAAGGTCTTCCGAGAGCATTGGTCCTTGCTCTGAAAGGCTTTTCGAGGGCATTGGTCCTCGTTCCTGTAGATCTTCAAGTAGTGCTGGCCCTTGGTCTGAAGAGTCTTCATGACAAGATGCCAATGGATCTGGTAATTTGCACTTGGTTTGTCCCAATTCTCCTCCATCTTGAAATGGTGGTGAAGAATCTGCCATAGTGGTAGGTGCTCTTTTTATCACAACACCCAAAGTCCAGGACCTGCCATATCTGTCACTAACATCATTGGATCAAAGGCTCTACTCAGCCAAGAACCTGCAAAAGAAAAAGAAAAATCAGCTTCTCTTAATTAATAATGTAATTACACTTTGCAAATGCTTAGTAACATTTTTAATACACTATTAACAAAAGCAAGTTAATTGCTTGCTCCCTTTTTTGTAGTGTACTCCATAATCCAAGAGTTAAAATGGAGCACTAAAATACATTTTTATGGGGCTCCAGGATTAGGCCACAAACATCAGTATAATGGAATTTAGGAAAATTGTGAAAACCCAGTGTTAAATGTAATGAAATGCCTTTCTGTAAATCCCAAGTGGGTCCCTGAAGCTATCTCACTGAGATTACCCCATGCCACTGGGTTACAACAGTCAAAGGAGTTCTGTTTGACATACTAGGGACCAGAGCCCGAAACTGGCCCCCTTACAGAGGCGAAAGGAGCGAGTGGCAATCTGTCACCTCACCCGGATAACATCCAGAAAGATAGTGTAACTTTCCTGACAACTGTAGGGTTCAAAGAAACCAATTACCAAAACCTCCAAATAACTCCACAAACAAAAACGGCTCGCTCAAAACTAGCTCGAACCCCTATAAAGTTAGTACCAATAGCTGCCACCAGATGGCCCGGCCCCTGCCCACAGCCAGTCTTTCTGACTAGTTTTGGAACCAATTGATAACACACCTACAGATCGGGAGGGGAAATGGGAGTATCGGGTAGCCACTGGGGTTCATCAAGAAAAAAGGAATTTCCTTACATTCAATACTGGGGTCCTGGGAGAGCCCCCTTGATGGCTTCCTGAAGCCATATAACCCCAGATAACGAAAAAACTTACTAGAGAGTAGGAGAGGTGGTAGGCGCACACACTATTTCTTGAATGAATTTAATTGGACTTGTTACTAGGCAAGAAAGTGAATTTCAAATTCTGTGAAATACACGATAAAAGCACAAAAAAATTATATCAAAACAGAGATGCAGAGCTGAGAAACAGGACTGGTTCAACAGAAATTGTGAGATGGCCAAAGAGGAAAAGACAAGAAAATGGGTACAATATAGGAAGAGGCCTAATCCTTAAATATTCCAGCACTGAAAAAAACAAGGAACAAATACACAGCAGTGAGGAGGCAGAAAGGAGCTTAGAGAAAGGGGTAGTAGACAAATGTAAAACAGATCCAAGCCTTTCCTTTAAATTAATTAAAAGCAAGCAGCATGTAAAGGACAAAATCAAGAGATTGTGAATGGGGGGGGGGGGACAGAATCACCAAAAATGAAAATGAAATGTGTGAAACACTACATGAACAGTTCTAAAGTGTGATAACCTTGTTACTTATTACACCTGGTTACAAGGCTTTTGCTACCAAATATACTGCTGGGAATGAGGTGAACCCCCCCCCCCCATCACTTCCAATAAGACCATTGGACCTTACCAATCTCCTGTTGGTAAGTTCCTAGACAAGACTTTTAGGTCTATATTAATTATTTATGAGGTGCTATAATTTGATCTATTCCTGTACATATATTTTAGATCACCTTTATCTTACAAAAATATTTTCATTAGTTGGAGGACTATAGTTTATTATGTACTGTTACTGTCACCCATGTATTTACTCTTAATGCTCTATTTATAGGCCAATAAAATGATTTCCTTGTCTTTGAATTAATGCCATTCACTATAAAATATTAATTGGGGCCTCAATATTAATTGATGGCCCAAAAGAAATAATGATCCATATGTTTTTGTGGCCGAATCTCAATGGACTCGGATCAATTCACACATAAATCAGCTCATCAACAGAATTCCTATATTAAAACCTTCCTTAGCCAACCTAGCAAGCTGTTGTACACTTGTCACAGTGGCTGTGGGGGACACCCACCCAGGGTAGACATACCAAATTAAGACATGCATTTCAGCTATTGAAAACTAATGATAAAGTGCATTCACTGTCTTGCTTACGAGTGCAGGAAATCCCTCCCCCCACCAGAGTATTATGAGGTTGGTGAGGCAAAACCTCATAAAATACCACCAAGCCTTTTTTTTATGAGGGAACCCATAAACCTTTGTCCCAGCTCACTCTGCCTGCCCCCTTCACGCTGGTGCTCTTTCACTTCCACGGAAATAATGAATTGAGGAGAGTGAGTGAGGTGTGGGCAGCGAGAGCGTGGGCAGCGTGCGGGGGTAGCGTGTGCGTGCTGTCCGTGGTGTGGTGATGGGGGCCGTCGTCCTGCCCGATACTGCCGCCCAACACTCCCTCCATCTTCCCTTCGCAACCTCCCACCACCACTTTTTGCCCAGAGCACACAACACAAGCACGCACAATCACCTCTCTGTGGGGAGGCGGAGGTGTGCCAGGTGAAGCACGGAGGTGGCAGTAATTGTGAGGAGGGCGTGAGCGCCAGGCCCTGGTGGCTGGGCCGAGGTGGTGATGGCTGACGGCAGGCAGGCTGGCCCCCGCCACCCAACCAATTGCTCACACGCCGAAGCACTTTTAACCAGCCTAACACAGCACCTGAGAAACATAATACACTCCCCCATAATGCCACTACATCCCTGAACCTATTAACTTATCTAATAACATACCTCACGGGGTTAAATCTTGGAAACTGAGTGAAAATATATTCGCTACACTCTTAACAGCAAGTCGTCTGTAAACGCCATTTTGAACAACAAAGCCGATTGCGGCCAGACGCTGTTGTGTCCGCCCCTCCCGCGGGGTCCCTAAACCACTCCTTTATTACCATTAAACTACATTAATTTGAAAATACAATTAGTATGCCTCTAATCTTTAATACAAATTCGATACACTACGTCTTCTTGCACATGGCTGTCCTGCATTTGCGTGAAATATGGAAAGAAGTACATTTGTTTATAGCATTCCTAACAGTATGAACCATTATAACTTTGGAAATAATACCTATCGGAAAGTATATTATTTTTATGATAATTAATAAGTATATTTATGACATCTTTATCTTTCCTGGCATGTTCTTTAGAGATGTCAGGATCACACTATCGGGAGGGAACATTGGCTGAGTTTGCGTAGTAGCTCTCAGACCATCCACCATTTTGGTACCGGGAGGTGCTGGGGGGGTGAAACTGATTGTTGGCGCTAACTTTTAAAGTAATATATTTTCCCAAGACCATTTATGCAACATCTTCCAGATAAATGGTTATCATTACAGGAGTATTATATAAGCCCTTATTTAGAATAACAAATAAGTATTTGTACAGCTATTCTTAAGTTGCAACGTTTCTGTTTAAGCTTTGTGTATTTTATAAATGTTTAACATGTTTAAATTATAAATTGTATTTAAACACAGGACCTTTAAGTTCATATCCACTATAAATGTTTAACATGTTTAAATTATAAATGATATTTAAACAGGACTTTGAAGTTAATATCCACTATTCACTGAAAGTTGCACAACAAGTAGGAGCAGCAGTTATAAAAGCTAACCAAACTATTATAATAATCAGGCTTACCTTTGACATAAGATAAGTAAGGTAGTGATTCAATTGTATAAATCTCTGGTGCGCCCCCATTTGGATTACTGAATCCAAGCATGGATACTTCATCTTCAGAAAGGCATAGCTGTTCTGGAGAAAGTGCAACACTAGGCAACAAAAATTATTCCAGAGCTAAGTCAACTCACATACCAGGAACGGTTGAGGGCCACAGGGCTAATTGAATTGAATTGAAATAAGTTTATTGAGGTATAAATACACACAAAGGTAGCTCTAGCTATTCTTACCTTACAGGGCTAATAATACTGCAAACCAGGCATGACAGGGCGGACCTCATTGAAGCTTAAAATACTGAAAAATTTGGAGGATGTTGATCCGGACAATGTCTTCAAAAGGTCAGATATAACACAAACAAGGAGCAACGGTTTCATACTCAACAAGCCACAATTTAGGACTGAGAAGTGGAGATGCTTTTTCACACACAGGGTTAAATACCTATGGAACCGCCTACCCGTCGAAGCCGAGAATGTCAAAACTCTGTTAAATTTTAAAATCCAGTTAGAAAAGATGAAGGCAAATGGGGGGGGGGCGGAACCTTCAACAAGAAATAGATGTGTGGCTCTTCTTGCATAACAGTATGATGATAGATGGAATTATTGGTGTATATTTCACTTTGCCTCAGATCTACAAGATTTTGTTGAAGTTCTTGGTCTTCTCAATAAGCAGCTCTCAGACTGCTGACGGTCCAATGACAATAAAATGAGTATGACAATCCAATGTCATGCTCAATTTCTCCTTTAAAGGCAGATTCTTTGGCTAACTCATCAGCTCTATCATGCATTCGGAGGCCATCATGAGATGGAGTCCACATGAAATGGACTCTGTTACCATCATTAATAATTTGCTGTATTTGTGTCTGGCTTCGGACACGAGCATGTTACAATTATGTCTTAAAAAGTTGAGAGCAATTAAGGATGATAAAGAATCACTTACAATTAATGTATTAAGTTTGGAGACTTGTACACATTTCAGTGCAAGAAGCAAGGCAAATAGTTCGGTCTGAAGGGTAGAGGCCCAGTTGTTTATACGGACTCCCCACTCAAAATATAAGCCATCGCTCATTGTCAGGACAATTCCACTTCCAGCTGCACCCGTGGGGCGATGTAGGGAACAATCAGTGTATATGATTTGAGAGAGAGAATGCTCTATGGACAGAGCATCAATATGGCTTAATGCGAAGAGCTTTGCCTCAAAACAAAGCTTGGGCTGATCTGTAATTTGCTTCTTGGGTGGAAAGGGAGGGATTAAAATTGGAAAGGGTATAATCTCCCACGGTGCAGGAAAGTGCAGCTATTGTCTCTCTTGGTACAACTTATAAATATGATACATTCTTTCAGTTCCAGTTTTAGTTATCCACTAGAACAATGTTGACCTTCAATAAAGAAATTCTGGAGGGCTTCTGTGCATGGGTTAGGATGAGCTAGCCAAAGCATTTTTATAGCAATTTGAGTTAATTTCAGTAACACGATCAACGACGCTCGGAATATTAATTTCCTGTCTAGTGTTAAGTTTCTTTGTGGTACGAGGGTACCCAAGGATTATCCTCAAAGGTTCGTTCTGCAATTTTTCAAGCCCTCCAAGCTTTCTTTCAGTCATCAAAGTAAGCATAGGTGCAGCATAATCCACTAATACAATCAGCAGACTTCTAGATGTTACTACTCGATTTCAAGTATCTCTGGGAATTTTCATTATCTACTAATGTAGATCTGACCAAATGTAAATTGTGTCAACAAAATTATCCGCACACCCTAAAAGATACGTGAATTCAGAAATACTTATATAACAAATGTTCAAGAGACGTGTAAATATTTAATTTTTTTTTTTTTTTTTTGAGATATATACAAGAGTTGTTACATTCTTGTACAGCCACTAGTACGCGTAGCGTTTCGGGCAGGTCCCTGGAATACGATCCCCTGCCGCGAAGAATCGTTTTTTCATCCAAGTACACATTTTACTGTTGCGTTAAACAGAGGCTACAGTTAAGGAATTGCGCCCAGTAAATCCTCCCCGGCCAGGATACGAACCCATGACATAGCGCTCGCGGAACGCCAGGCGAGTGTCTTACCACTACACCACGGAGACTGTTCAAAATGATCTGCTGCCAGAAATCTTAGCCAATTATCCACAGTTTGCTAACTGTAGGTAGTAACTAAGTGATTGTAACCTATCCACCGTAGCCCATTGGACGGGGGACGGTGTGCAGGATAACCATATCAATTGTGACACTAGCTCTCCACATGTCAGTTGCATAATTTAGAAATTGTACTTGTGGTCGTTCTCGAGCCCATTGTTGATGTGACGATACGCATTGAATTTTGTAACTAGCTCATCAAGATTGTAACTTGCTTAGCTAAATGAATTGTGGGGTTCAGTCCCTGAGCCCATTATGTGCCTCTAACCCTTTCCACTATCACCCACATGATGGGTATGGGATGCATAATAAATGAACTAAACCACACTTCAACAAGCCGCCGACTTCCTGTCCTCTTCGAAGCCACTAGTATTAGTGGCTCCTCAGTTAAATGAAAGTTAAACTGTTAGATTAGCACCGTTAAGCAACCATTAGGAAGAACTTCACATTTATTTACTAGAGAAGCAACGCCATTAAAACGGATCTGATATTTTTTATTGAAGCCACATTGAAAAGATAGATTTTTATAATAATAATAATAATAATAATAATAATAATAATAATAATAATAATAAAAATAATAATAATAATAATTTTTATTTAAAAAATATACAGAATATGATACAGTGGTTTAAGATATGTTTAAGATCATTTTTATTTAAAAAAATATATACAGAATATGATACAGTGGTTTAAGATATGTTTAAGATCATTTTTATTTAAAAAATATACAGGATATGATACAGTGGTTTAAGATATATTTGTTACAGAGTGTATATTTAATAATGCCCTTGGGCATTATAACAAGTTTTGGTACACAGCAGTGTGTTGCTACCCTGCTGGTCCATTTGTGGGATCCCAGAGTATACATCAAAAGGTAGTTATTAGTTCAGTTAATATCTACAAATGAAGCGATGCATGGAGTCTGCCTCCACGATATTACTTCCTAATACATTTCATTTGTTAACTACTGACACTAAAGAAATTCTTTTACATGTCTCTGTGGTTCATTTGGGTACTCATTTCTACCCGTGTCCCTTTATTCGAGTTCTACCCATGCTAAACTTATGTTTAATTATATTTATTTATATAAAAGAAGGTACAATATATAGGAGTGCCACCTCTAGTGCAATTGTAGGGACCCGCAGCCTCGGAGAAGAGAATAAAGGGTATTCAGAGAAGACCTTGTAGATTCTCTCTGAAAACTACTACTCCTACATTTTAAAAAAAATTTAAAATGTAGGTAGTAGAAGAGTATTTTCTTCTACCTTGCAGGAGATACGTTTGTAGTCAATATTATCTACTTTCATTTCTAACAAACTCTGTCTTCAGATAACACACAACCCCTCTGTTTAAATCCCTAAACATGCTAAACATACACTCCGCAAATTCTCTTGTGCTATTTACATGTACAAAACCTTGTTCCTAAATGCTAATCCTGATCTGAAAGTCTTCCTTGATATATGTAATTTAACCCACGAGCACCACACATGAAATAAATATATCTTTGATATTCTTAGTCAGATTAAATCTGAGCAAACATTCCATGCAAATAAACAGAACTCACATGTGCACTGAATTTTGTAACTAGCTCATAAAAAACTGTAACTTGCTTAGCCAAATTTTGGGGGTTCAGTCCCTGAGCCCATTGTGTACTACCTCTGTAGCCCTTTCCACTACCGCCCACAGCATGGGTATGGCGTGCATAATAAATGAACCAAACTAACTTTATCTGTTAGATTAAGGACCTGACAGAGACGTAAGATTGTAAGAACACCAATGTTATGTACTCTCATAACCAAATGTACCTTCTTGTATATAAATAAATAAATAAATAAATCATAATTTAAAAATAAATCTTTCAGCACAGAACAAAGACTATTCACATTCACACACACAGAGTTGGAACTGTGTGTAATCTGTTGGAACACACATGTCCCAACAGATTACATCCAACTATAACAAATACATACAACCAGCCATCAATAAAACACATTCTATAGACTAGATAAAACTCCTTTGCACCATATGTAAGTAGTGTATTTTTTTTAAATACACTACTTACATATAAAAAATACATTTCTTAATTATGAATTATAATTACAGGACATGGGATGCTACACGTTGGTATCAGTTCATGAGGCTTGAAAGTGGCAACATTTTGCATGAGAGTTAAGAAGCGGTTTATTTACGTTTATACATGCACAAAAGGTCATGCTAGTAATAACAAAAAAAGTCTTGTTGATTTTTGAATGCACAAGATTAAATTATTATGTGACTGACTCCCTTGTCTTTATTTTTTTAAATTTATATTCAAACATTTTGTAGAGAATGTGTATGAGACTTGAAATGGTAAGTATAATGATTAAAATGAAATATACATAAGACTAGACCCCGTGGTCTGTAATACTATATGACACACGTCTGCTAAGCACTGTAATGACTAATATAGTTATCACAGAAAATGAGTTATTGCGAAAAGTAATGAAAACTGAATAATAAAACTATTTATAAAAGTGAAATATTAAAAACTATTCAAAGTGATGTGATAAGGCCACGGACGGTACTGAAGGAAGACATTAATACATTTGGAGCCATACTGGAATCTGAGGAAGTAGCTCCAGGAGTGAATATATATGTATAAAAAACTAAAAATGTTCTCTTGTCCCCACTTCCCCCCCCCCCACCCCTCACTCACAGGGTAATCTATTTTATTGATCTGTATATCGACCACCAGAGTCTTGGCTCTGGTGCTCGTGGATGGCCTGGACAGGGAGCGAGTGTGGCGCCTCGTAGAAGTCTGGTTCTTCATGATCGTCTGTGGTATTAGCGTCTGTGCCATCAAGCTTTGGTAAATGAAGAAAAAGCAAAGTTAAAATTTGTAACAAATGCATACGGCAAGGGCAACCAAGTATATTTATTCAGTATTAAAACAGGCCGTATGAACTATATGGACATGTTGACAAATGTTGCATATAACTTACAGCACTGAGCTCCGATTTTGTAAAAATGATAGGCAGTATGTAGAGCCTTAGAGGAACAAGCAGGCTGAGGACAAAAGGCAGAACGAGGGCGACTGGGGACTTCAACACCAGTAACAAGACACCAAGCATTATCAGTTGCACTGTCGTGAAGATGTGCATCTTCACTGTGCGAACCTGCAAAGTAAATATAGATGTTTTAGAAAATCTCTTCAATGACGTATTCTACATTACACTATTGACAGTACGAGACAAACAATTGCCAATGCCAACAATTCCATACCTTCTTAACGAAGGGTGCATCAGGGTGGTACTTCACTGGCATAAACATGAGAACAGTCCTCTCCAGGAAATGAATGCCAGCAGTGGAGGCAATACCCATGTAGAGGAAGACACCAAACAACACTGCCTTTGGCACCAGGTTCAAGGAATCGGAGAGAAGGACAGCCAACCCAACCAAAATTGACACCACGAGACTACTCACTCGTTGCTCTGTAGATTATTATAATGATTATAAATTATACCTGTAATTAAAATTATAATAATTTTGAAGACGAAACCTGATAAATTATTGTAATTTACATTTTTATGTGTAATATATATTAAATTGAACACCAATAATTTCATATATGTTTACAATAATATAGTAATGAATTAAATAGAAAGGTTATTTGACGTCCACACATAAATTTCAAAACATACAAAATACTAATTTGTGTGTATAATAATAATAATAATAATAAAAATGATAATAACAAATGAAATGTATTAAATATGAAATATGGGCAAGGATGGTTGGAAAAGTATTTTGTAGCAAGTCAATTAAAATAAATAATTATCAAAAGAACTGCCAATATGGAAGCAGAAAGATAAAAGGTGCCAAAATGTTTGTCAGTAAGCTCTGGTAAGCTTTAATCCTCCCGAAGTTGATAGGCTTTTAGCCCATCTTTAATAACCATCTCGCAGTTGACATAGGGTTAATAGCCCTTGGCCAGTCTTAATAACCTTCAAATTGTTCCCCGACATTGAGAAACCGTGTATTGGGCAAGTCCAATCATGCAGCGAGCTTCAAGATCATTGTATCAAACAGCTGTTTGGTAATTTTATATAACCTAGCTCATTAATAAAATCCTAAAAGTCTCTCTGTATTCGATGGTTTTCCCTGCTCATGCGTTTCCAGATTATTGATTTTTATGACAACACGTACCTCTAACACCTTCCACCTGGGGCGGTTGTCCAGGAGAGCGAGCAGGGCTGGTAACGGTGAGGGCGGCGACGTGAGCCACAGTCCTGATACACGCCGGGCCCATGAAGGGAGCCCCCAGGAGGCCAGACATCAGGTTGATGAAGCACGACAGTACAAGGTCCAAGTGAAAGCCTGTTCCTTTCACCATCTTGCGCTCTGGTTTACTCAATATCAGACTAGTTTAAAGAGAAAATTGCACTTAGATAAGATAAAATATATAATACATTGTACTAAATAAATTATTATTTGTATGCCTAGTATGTAAAATAAATAGATGTATTAAGCATTATTTTTTTTTCTGCACAGATCTCGGAATGTTTCGTGATTTTTTTTACATTATATTATTTCTCGACTTTACACAAATGTCAATATCCGCAACCTACTGGCAGATGCTTCCTTCGAGGAAGACCAGGAAGAAGACGAGGAGGGCGGCGGGCCCCGCAGCGAACATGCACCACACTGGTAGGGGCTTCACCTGCCCAAGCGGGTTAATTATCCAGCCGCGGATATCAGGGTTGGAGGGCTGAAGGCCTTCAGGCATTGTTAGTTTGTCGGTGAATGTGTCTTTGTTGACGTAGTCCAGCAGCACCATGAGAAAAATGGCGATTGGCACACCAAAATCCCCCAGACCTCGGCGTAACTGTTTAAACATACATGTCAGTTATTGGAAGAGTTGAAAACATGAGTAGGTATTATTAGAATTGGGGCTACTGTATCATAAATTAAATTTAAATTTTGCCCCGAGGGGTGAGTTTATTGGGCAGCGCCAATCATCCCGTGAACATACCGCCATTCCACCATGTACAACACCCCAAATAGGAAGAAAACCCTGTACTGCACTGTACCTATGTGGCCTAAATCTTAAAGCTAGATGTGGTGAAAGCACCAATCATTCACAGCTACAGCTCTTCTCTATCCCCCACCCCCAGCACACGTATGCAATATATAGAAGGCAGGGCCCAACAGCTACAGTATAATCAAGCCAAAGTAAATCTAGTATTGCAACATCTAAAAGTAGTTTTACTTTTAATTAAAATTGTATATCTCTACTGAATCATTAAAATAAATATAATTATAGTATTAATTATACTGTAATAATTTTTTATTATTTTAAACTCTTGCAAAACTGTCACAATATAAGAGTAAGACACAAACAGCAATGCTTATCGATTCTCATATGTTAACTGTATTAAGCTTAATAAATTTACATTAAGTTAGACAGAAGATATCAAATGTAATGTGAAACTTACACTTCTTCCTAAGAACTTTGAGTTACGGAACTTCTTGAGCTTAGTGGCAATGGTGAAGGTTCCCAGCATGAGGATGAGGGAGAGGAGAGCGGTGTTGGGCTGAGGGGAGACTCTTGCCGGTGTTAGTTCGTCTCCGCCAGTGGTGTTCAACCACACATCTGTGTCGTTCAAGTCCTCATCCGGTCTGAAATTAACATAAATGCTGAATCTAAAAGTAACTCTTAAGTCTGATTAAAAAATAAACACTATGAATAATATTTATAAAATAAATTGCCTATTTTCCTAGTCCGTCGCCGAGACTCGTCCCTCCTCGCACTGTTATTTTTGGTTATTGATATTGATTTAATTAATTAATTAAGTGGCCACGACGGCACAATAAAGTGCCAGATGTGCTTATTCATTTTCGCGTCGAAAAAAATACAAAGCCTTATGTCTGCGCGTCGCTTTTCGGCGGAAAACTACCATGTCTTGCCAAAGAAAATACTTGAATGGCAGACTTGAAGACTTTCTAAGGACACCAGTGGCTCAAGCGTCTTGTAAACGCTAAGCAGCCGAACAAATTCCTAGCCTAGCGGCAAAATCGTGATTAGTCATCTCCTAAATTCAAGACCAATTGAGCTAAAATGCAGTAACGTTGTCCAATGCCCTTTGATAGAACAAGAGCCAGATGCACCCAGGAACCAACGAAGATCCGCCAATTTCTAGCACCTATCAAAGTCAAATCGGTTGAACCTTGAGGTCCAACCGGAAAACGAAACAAATCTATTAGCTTCCTCGAGGGAAGTATCAAGACCCAATTGTCAAAATCGCGAACCTGTCCTCTCGCCTTTTTAAATTAACGAAATCTACCAAACCGTCAAAATTGTGATGTTTTAATAAAAAATCAAGTACCGTAATTTTAAGGTAGGTGTGGGGGAAATTTTCCACGTTAAAGGTTAAGATGTTTCTTTAATTATAAATAACACTTAAAAGATTAAATATTAATTTAAATTATTATGAGAATTCTGTGTGTTTAAACCTAATATGCAGTTATTAACAACGAACAGGGCTGACGTCACGCTACGAGAGACAACTGGAAACCTGATATTGCTTTCTATTAGGTCTCACTATAAATTAGTGCTATAAAATTATATAATCATATAATTATATAAAATTAAGTCATCGAATTAATTTTATTAATTCATTTTATAAATAATGAAAATTTAGAGCCTTCCATTTATAAATAATTTAGTTCTGTCTCTGACTCGAGAGTCCGGAAGGAAAGAGAAACAGAGAGGGTCTCGACGCCATCACCGGCTTATATATCACAAACGATACACTACCGAAAGCTGGATAGCTTAGTTCTGGGCTGTTGTTGCTGTTCTCCGTCTCACAACAGATAAGTTACCTAACAATCTAACATTTACATTCACAATCGACTTGAGAATGGTCCAGAACGGACCGAAACGTCGTCGTTCCTTCACTTTCTAGTGTGTGGTTTGGTCAACATACTTCAGCCACGTTATTGTGACTCATCGCCTGCAATCTAACATTTAATTTGGGCAGTTCAGTGTGTTTGAATATTGTTAGGGAGTGAGTAGTTATGCGGCACGATAACGCCCAAACTATATATGAAAAAAAGGCTTTCATAGCCTTTAATTTGGAATCAGCCATTGAATAAACGCGTGATCCTTAGATACTGGTAAATTTTATAAGCTGTTGAAGATCTAATAAATAATTTCCCGACAGATGTTGGTCCAGCCATAACGCATATCCTGTTGCATGTTCCGTTGTTGCATGTCCCGTTGTTGCATGTCCCGTTGTTGCATGTCCCGTTGTTGCATGTCCTGGCCTACGAATTCTCCTAGCCCCAGCTAGAACTTAATATCGTGCTACTAACCACAATTTAGATAAGCCAGTGCTTGTTAACAAATTAAATAAATTTAACTCAAATAGAATGTAAATTTAAAGGGTACTGGATGATTTGAATTGAATTAATAAATAAATAAATTATAATAGGCCCCTCCCCTCCTGTGGAGTTGTTTGAAACAAATTGATATTGATTTCAGTCCACTTGCAATTTAAGAAAGAATAATTCGTTTATCCACAACCCCCCACAGTAGGTGGGGGGCTGAGGTAGTGCCGCTTATCCTTTGAAGTATCATATATAGCCGCCCACGCCTCTAGGCCTACGTGGGCGGCCTTTCTTGTCTCCATACAGTTGGTTTCTTATTGTTGTTCCTCTGTGTATGAGTCAGACGCATTCTTTTTAAGGTTAGGCCTACAATGTTTTACATTTTCTTTGCCACATTTTATCTTCACCGTTATCTCGTAATAAGGATCTTCTCATACTTGTTGAGTTACACTTGTGTCCACGTGAGCCCATTATAGGTATGTTTTTCGCCAATCCAAGTCTGTTCTTCGAAACGTTTTGGTCAACCACTACAGCCTTTTTGGCCTATCCCTTTGACCCTGCCTGAGCAATTTCCCGCCCTGGTTTGCCCCACCCTGGCGCCTTACAACGCTCCTTTTTAAGGGACCTGTTTGGACCCCATTTCAGTCCTATCTAATCACGGGTGTATTCTGGGAAAGCAGTCGTTGGCCAGTGAGGTAACAGTGATTAGCCTAACAATCTTCGTGTTCACAACTATGTGAAACACTTGCTTAATCTGATAAAAAATGCCATTGAAATATATGGGTCTAAATTACTGAATAGCCTCTCGACCGAAATTGTGAAACAGCCTCCCATCAGAATTACAGAAAGGCATCTCGACAGAAATGTAATAAATTGTATAAATAACAGGTAAAAATGTGAAAACTTACCTTTTAGACAGAACGCCTTCTTGGCAGTTATATGCTGACAAGAGTGGATGGTCCCTGAAGAACCCTACTATTTGTGTACAGGCTTCGTAGATGAAGATAAGACTTGTCATCAAAGCGAAGATCTCCTCTGTGAACCTAGTGAACTTTCTCACGACAACGACACCTTCGAATGCGACAAATACTACTCCAATGATCGTCATCCAGAGGCCAATCCACACCCTCATGGACAGGAAATCAAATTCATTCATCTGAGCGAACTAGACAAAAAGACAAACTTATTTATATATTGAAAATGCGCTCCTCAAGTTATGAACTAAATATGGTTCACCAACAATTATCGTCACCTGCATTATATTGTTGTCGAATTTCGTGCAGCTTAAGGAAAGTCAATTCCACGCAAATACTCACTTGATAGAGACTCATGTCGAATATCATCAGAGGACCCGTGGGGCCGACAGCAAGCAGTGGCTGGGCGGCGAACAGGGCGAAGATGACTCCATTCACACAGGACAAGAGGAGGCATTCCCCGACTCCAATGTAGTTATTCGTTTGGAAACCTTTGAGCAGAAGAAAATTTATGCATAACAAATGAGGTTATCAATGTGGGTTGATGCAATTATTGATAAGGATAATTCAATACAATTGAACAAAGAATATTTAAATTTTGAAGATAAGCCTATATATTTAACACAGATTAACACTTTTGCAGTGGTAGATTTCTGGAGCCAAGTGATTACTTACTATAGATTCCACCGAAGGTGATGGCAGTTGACATAATAGCAAAAAATATGAAAATGGTTGCAGCCAGCACTTGTACATTAAATCCATCTGTAATATCCGAGAGATACTTGGAGTAGCGATCCACAATATCCAGATACAGACCGTAGAAAGGCTTCCCTACACGAATCAGAGGATCTCGTGTTGGAGGTTTCTTGTCCCTGTCATCGCCTTCTCCAGCTGTTGCAATGATACAGAGGAGCAACTTTACATTTGGACCTTAACTTGATGCTTCAAGGGTTTTAAACAAGGTATACGGGGATCTTAATTAATGGCCCCTGACAATAAATTATTATTTTCACACCTAACCTAAAATTGTGTTTTCATCGTAGCTGATAAGAGAGGTAGCATATTTCAAGGTATAAACAAAGTGGTGGTGTAATAATTGTAGGTAATAATAATATTACCTACAATAATAATATATTATATTATAACATTATTCATGATCAGAACATCAGAAAGAGTCCTGAACTTCCCGGCTTGGTGACGTCTTTCCCCAAATAGATGAGCCTTTTATTGCGGCACTAGGGGAGAGGGAGTAAACGGCTGTGAAATAAGCCCTTCAACGCCGGGGTGGGGGGAACAAGCCCTTTAACGTCGGGTCGGGGAACAAGCTAATCAACACCGGGCTGGGGAAAAAGCCATTCAACTCGGGTGGGGAACAAGCCATTCAACGCCGGGCTGGGAAACAAGCCATTCAGCGCCGGGTTGGGAAATAAGCCAAGCCCTTCAACGTCGGACTGGGAAACAAGCCCTTCAACGTCGGGCTTGGAAACAAGCCCTTCAACGCCGGCCTGGGGAACAAGCCATTCAACGCCGGGCTGGGGAACAAGCCATTCAACGCCGGGCTGGGGAACAAGCCCTTCAACGCCGGGCTGAGAAACAAGCTATTCAACGCCGGGCTGGGGACAAGCCCTTCAACGCCGGGCTGGGGACAAGCCCTTCAACGCCGGGCTGGGGACAAGCCCTTCAACGCCGGGCTGGGGACAAGCCCTTCAACGCCGGGCTGGGAAACAAGCTATTCAACGCCGGGCTGGGGACAAGCCCTTCAACGCCGGGATGGGAAACAAGCCCTTCAACGCCGGGCTGGGGACAAGCCATTCTACGCCGGGCTGGGAAACAAGCCCTTCAACGCCGGGCTGAGAAACAAGCTATTCAACGCCGGGCTGGGGACAAGCCCTTCAACGCCGGGCTGGGAAACAAGCCCTTCAACGCCGGGCTGGGGAACAAGTCATTCAACGCCGGGCTGGGGGACAAGCCATTCAACGCCGGGCTGGGAAACGAAGCCATTCAACGCCGGGCTGGGAAACAAGCCCTTCAACGTCGGGCTTGGAAACAAGCCCTTCAACGCCGGGCTGAAAAACAAGCTATTCAACGCCGGGCTGGGGACAAGCCCTTCAACGCCGGGCTGGGAAACAAGCCCTTCAACGCCGGGCTGGGAAACAAGCCCTTCAACGCCGGGCTGGGGACAAGCCCTTCAACGCCGGGCTGGGGACAAGCCCTTCAACGCCGGGCTGGGGAACAAGCCCTTCAACGCCGGGCTGGGAAACAAGCCTTTCAACGCCGGGCTGGGAAACAAGCCCTTCAACGCCGGGCTGGGAAACAAGCCCTTCAACGCCGGGCTGGGGAACAAGTCCTTCAACGCCGGGCTGGGGAACAAGCCCTTCAACGCCGGGCTGGGAAACAAGCCCTTCAACGCCGGGCTGGGGAACAAGTCCTTCAACGCCGGGCTGGGAAACAAGCCATTCAACGCCGGGCTGGGGAACAAGCCATTCAACGCCGGGCTGGGGAACAAGCCATTCAACGCCGGGCTGGGGAACAAGCCATTAAACGCCGGGCTGGGGAACAATTTCTTCAACGCCGGGCTAGGGAACAAGCCATTCAACGCCGGGCTGGGGAACAAGCCCTTCAACGACGGGCTGGGGAACAAGTCCTTCAACGTCGGACTAAGGCACAAATGCCCTTCAACGCCGGGCTGGGGAACAAGCCATTCAACGCCGGGCTGGGAAACAAGCTATTCAACGCCGGGCTGGGAAACAAGCTATTCAACGCCGGGCTGGGGAACAAGTCCTTCAAAGCCGGGCTGGGGAACAAGTCCTTCAACGCCGGGCTGGGGAACAAGCCATTCAACGCCGGGCTGGGAACAAGCCATTCAACGCCGGGCTGGGGAACAAGCCATTCAACGCCGGGCTTGGGAACAAGCCATTCAACGCCGGGCTGGGGAACAAGCCATTCAACGCCGGGCTGGGAACAAGCCATTCAACGCCGGGCTGGGGAACAAGCCATTCAACGCCGGGCTGGGGAACAATCCATTCAACGCCGGGCTGGGGAACAATCTATTCAACGCCGGGCTAGTGAACAAGCCATTCAACGCCGGGCTGGGAAACAAGCTATTCAACGCCGGGCTTGGGAACAAGCCCTTCAACGCCGGGCTGGGAAACAAGCTATTCAACGCCGGGCTTGGGAACAAGCCCTTCAACGCCGGGGTGAGGAACAAGCCATTCAACGCCGGGCTGGGAAACAAGCTATTCAACGCCGGGCTTGGGAACAAGCCCTTCAACGCCGGGCTGGGGAACAAGTCCTTCAACGCCGGACTTGATCACCCATTGGTGATCGACAAATATACGAAAACTATTCAAGATGCACGTGCAGTTTTATTCTAAAACATACTAAATCACAAATATTGTATATAAACGAATATCTTACCTAGGGGAAAGTGTGGGCGAGGAGCTAACACATTGTTGTCGAAGTCGATGCGCAAATTCTTTTCATCAGTAACATCCATCGTAATATTGATGTGGAAGAGGCCCGACAGCAACCTGTCTTTTCACTTCAGCTGATATTATTAGACTGACTGCTCACAGGCTCCGGCAAGCCCCGTAACTGAACGGTAACCACACTGACTTATGGTCTATTTAAACCTGGCGGCCAACTGGCCATTTGACCGTTGGGTTGCCAGATTTAGGTAGATATCCTCCAGTGCTCCGCCCATTGATCACTTAGGGTCTGTTTAAACCTGGCGGCCAACAGGCCACCTGACCGTTGGGGCGCCAGGTTTAGGCAAACATCCGCCAGTGCTCCGCCCATTGATCACACTACCAGCGCTGACATGTCACAGGCTACACATGCCAAATAAGTCTTCGCTTTACCTTCTAACAGTTTTCCAACAAGAATTTACTTGCAGTATTTTTACTTCGAGTAAATTTAGTGAATAATTTACTTCGAGTAAATATGCTCGAGATGCAAGACATTTTACACTTAATAACTAATATACACCTTAGAAAACATACAAGAAATATAAAATGGATTTTTCAATCCCAAGCTGGAATCCCTCTGGTTTGGTGTTTGGCTTTAACGCCTATGACGCCATGAAAGGTTATCAAGGCAAGACGATAACTTACTGACCGGTATCATCAACTGAGCTGTTTGCAACACAATAGGCATTCGCATGTGATGGCTCAAAACACTCAAAATGTAGTCATAAAGACTCAAAAGCTGCACTTCAAATGTTAGGAAAGAAGTGGAAAAACAATGTGGAAATAATTACCACACTTGTATCTAGGAACAGTAGCTAAATTCAAAAGACTCAACATAACCCTAAAAGAGATCCATCCCACATTGGTATTCCATTAAATGAGAAAGCTGGTGAAACTGTTAAATATAGTGATCTGCAAAAAAAAGAGTTCAACCCAGCCTAGCACTATCACAAAAAAAATCTCAACGGGACCATTTGCAACAGACAGCAGCAGAAGATTAACCCTCTACAATGTGGTATTTTCAGGCCACCAAGTTTAACATGCTTAATATTCCGAAAGAGGACCAACAGGGAAATAGCAGTTCTGATGTATAGAATACATCTAGGTTAAAGATGCAACTCGGAAATTCATGACTCCAGACAGTGGGAATTCATCTTCTGCTAAATAATCACAGAAAAACCACTACTTCATTATGACAAGTATCAAAAAAGTTATGGAATGTGAAGTAACCAACGACCTTAGAAGAGCTGTAAGAATCCCTCAAACATGCTGTAACCAGCTTGAAGCCGTCAACACTGCCACTTTTCTGGTCAAAAAAGGTGTTCAGCAGCTGGACACCCTCATATACACTGTCAAGCAGTATCCTCCACCACGATAGCAGCTACAAAGTAAGAACTGACAATTTCAAAAGGGCTAAAAACCCATTATACAGCACACCAGGATCATAGGCCTCCCAGTAACTAGGAAAACCTGATAAACGAGTGGCTAACCACCTGATTAACTTGTGTTGGCACATCTATCCTCATTTTGTAACTATCCTTTCACAATCAAAGATCACATTCACTCCAAACATCTACCATTCCGGGTTGCCAAAAGTATTTTCATGAATGTACCAAAATTATTACTTAAAAAAATATAAATGACTGAAAAGTACAAAATTTACAATTTAACGTAAAAATAAAAATTATATATAAATAATTGATCAGTTTTGGATTTTGATGTACTAAATTCGAATTTATAATGTATTTTTCTGTTTCCGAGTGCCTTTTTTGACATGTATAGTACTCCCTTGTATTTCACATTCACAGTTTACAAACTGCTTTATTCTGGGCTCTCGCAAAATCGTTCATCAATCAATATTTTGTTAGACTTTGTGTTCATACTTGACTTTTGCAATTTGTTTGTTATTAGAAGTCGCTCCGACTCACCCGAATCGCTATCACTATCACAGTTTCGGCTTCTTTTCTGACTCATTATGATGAGGTTTAAAATATCACAGCATAGCAGCGTGACTACTCTGACTGGTGTGAGAGAAGTCACGCTGCTATATTAACGCCATGATATTAACGGGGCAATAGCCAGCCCGTCCTCATTAACATAGGCCAAAGTCTATACCATGCACCCGCCAAACCCCCTAATTATAAATTAAAAACGGTTTACACACGACTGATGACGTCCGAACACTTCCAGAACAAGTGCTTCGCTGACGAACCACAGCGTTGTAAATACTTCACCCACGTACTACAAATACAAATACAGTAATCGCTAACAGAACCTAAACAACCAATGCCTAAATATGAGCAGTATGAAAATATAAATTGTCATCCACACTTCCGTGGAAATATACATGCCATTCACCTGGGCTCTAGGAGACTAGAACCGCGGCCTCACACGCGTGGGGTCTGCAGAGCAAGTCTCCTAGAGCCCAGGTGAATGGAATGAGCAGTATACTAATATATAACAATATTAATTTACATTTTAGAAACTTCCTACTTTGAATGAACAGTATGTCAAAATTGATGAATGCGTCTTTGGGGTCGACCGCTGAATGCAATGGACTTGGTCTGAGGACGGGTTGCAATAGCACCTTACCTGAAGTTCTCGTCGAGAACTGGACGTGGTCAATACCGGTACAGATTCACAAAACAAGTACCACTTTCACTACTGCATTTTATTAGCTCAATAAACTTGAACTATATATGAGAGTGGATAGTTTTAACTTGCAAGGGTCATGTCAGAGTTAATAGAGCTGCACTAATGCTTAAAGCAGACACAGGTGAGGTCAGGTAGAGGAAGGTAATGTGAGGTCAGGGATGAGGCTTATGGTGCCAGTATATCAACCACACAGGAACTTCGGGTATGCTAGACATATCAAACATGAAAGCAGCATAAGATGATATACGCATGGGGTGTGCACCCATTAATCACTACCATATCACTGAACACAATCAATGAAGATTCAGCTTCACATTAGTTTGCACATTATATATAAATACACTCAGTGTAACACTGTTGAATTAATCCCTCAGGTTTCTCATCCTACCAGAACTTAGCCTCCTTGGCTTCGCCTCATTTTTTCTAAACTTGCTCCGAAGGTTGTGTTTATTAGGCAGGGTCACTCATCCTGTGAGTAAACATACCGACATAGGGACAGTATTGGGCAGCGTCACTCATTCCGTGAGTGACCATACCGCCAAAGTATCACGTAAAACACCCCCATCTCACCTTATAATCGCCTCCTTCATTTTATCATTGCCACATCCCATCTGTGTATATTTACAATTTGCAGTTTTCCCAATTAAAGGATCCCATTTACAGAACATCTATTCTCATTGGAAAGAGACAAAAAACAACGCTACAAGTGCTCTATCGGGAGGCAAGAAGAATATTACATGCCTGCTTGTGGAGGCACATATAGGCATAAAAGATATCACAGAGCCTATGATCAATGTCACCTGTAGGGTCATTAGTTTGATTTTAATATATATTTTTAGTTATTGGAATAACTAAATATTAATATATGCCAGATTAGCCCTGTCGTTTTGAAGTGATTAGCTTTACAACATAATTTAAACAATTTAGTAAAACATTTTAACATTTAGTAAAAAGTATAATTTATTGGTCAGAACATTTAGGGGAAAGTTGGTACTACATCTCTAATATCAGATGCTAGTTCAAGGTTGAGAAGAAATGCAAGTTGTTGCGTTAGGGATGAATTTATGTTTATAAAAGAAGAACGAAAAGGAGAAATTTCACTACATTGCCGTGAGTAAGTCACTAACACATAACATGGTAGGGAATATGAGTTAGGTGACCCACATAGTTTGTATTGTGTGTGGGAAGGGTCAGTTATTATTCCCAGGTGTATTATGTACCAAGCCTCAGTTTAGGCAAAATTATTCGCATGGAAGGGTAGAAATAGCCTAAGCTAATTTATCCTTTTGAGATGTATTATTGAGATGTACACTAATTGCAAACATTATGTGTTTGTTGATCATTATCTTATTTTTTTTTTACTTTGTAAAGCTAATGTGTTGTCACTGGAAATAATGACATCCCTATATGTTTATTTTTTGTAGTGCTTTATATGAGAGAATCGTTATACTTGACGAGACGTATGGGTTCAGAGAACAGGTTGCATGTGAAATCATGCATGAATTTAGAGACAGCTCTATTAGAAATATTCAAGAAATGGGAAAATATTTCATTCCAAATTATCTACTACTAGAAATATAAATCAAATTTCCCATTTGCTAACTGTAGATAGTAAATGTTGGTACTGCAACCCGTCCTCGTAATAGGACGAATGTGAGGTGCTATTACGTGACAAAGTTAATCCCCCAATCGACTTGAGAATGGTCCAGGACGGACCGAAACGTCGTCGTCCCTTCACCTAGTGTGTGGTCTGGTTAACTAATCCCCCAAATTAGAAACCTGTCATATGAAGTAAGATTGACAAAGCTTAAATTACATTTTATAGAAAGGCGAAGAATTAGGGGTAACATGAAAGAGGTGTCGAAGTGGATGAATGTACATAACAAAGGGGATATTAATAGTGTATTAAAAGTATCAACACAAGACAGAGCACAAGATAATGGGTATAAGTTTAAATTTAGGAAAGACCTGGGCTGGTAACAGGGTTGTTGATTTGTGGAACCAATTACCGCGTAACGTAATATAGAAGTAGAATCCCTTGAGTGTCTCAAGCGTAGGTTAGACATATAAATGAGATTGGGTGGTTATAAATAGGAGTTGCATCGTATGGGCCTATAGGCCTTCTGCAGTTAACTTTATTCTTATGTTTTTAGTTTCTTATTATGTTCATGTTTTTAATTCTTAAGATGTTTCACAACCAATGACCACATTCACTCAACACATCTACCATCTACGGCGTCCCTGAAACCCGTCCCACCTTTTGTGGTGGCTTTATAAACAACAACTCTCTCTCTCCCTTACAGGCTACTTTTGCCCGTAATCTTCATCAATCTTAATCTTGATCTTAATCATAGATCAATCTTAATCTTCATCAGTCAATCTCTCACTCACATACGAGCTGATAATTGTCCAGGACGGACCGAAACCGTGATGTGGTTTGGTTAATTCAGATTACACCTATTAGGCAACATTCCCTCCACTTCCTGTTCATAATGGATAATACTATTTTGTTCATTACTCTTGTATTGTGTGGTTGGATAAATAATTATTTACGTGTTATTTATTCACATTACTTTATTGGAAATCACAACTATAATTATATCTGGTATTGTAAAGCATTACATGTTTACATTATTCCCTACGGCAAAATTATGGACACAAAAAAATCAATTAGAGAATCTGAAGCATCATCAGGGCATCCCATCCTCCCGATAAGACAATACTTTTTGTAATCATGTGGATGATCGTACAAATTGAAAGTAGAATTTGGTACTATTAATTTTATAGTTCGACCAAATTCTACTTTGTATTGGTCCATCACATCCATATTTGTACGATCGACCACATCGTAACTACAAGTACTTTCAATTTATGTGGCTGACTTCATCATCACATAACACTTAAGATATAAATATCCAAGGCCGGCTTGCTATTTATATATATATATATATATATATATATATATATATATATATATATATTTATATATTACCAACTTATTTATATAAGTTAGTAGTTCAATTCAAACCAAATTGGTATAAATTATTCGTTTTGTCGAGGAACAGGCAGTCTGGGTATGTATACATATATATGGTTGGTATCAAGGTACCCCCAAGGTGAAACTACTGACTCTCCAAAGGATGCTACTCCACAGCAGTTGACTAACTCCCGTGTACCTTTCCATTTCATTCAATTGGAGACCCCACGAGGCAGAAGCTCTATCTACCACTGTACTATGAGACAGCCACAATACGAAAGATTTCACAGGCAACAATCTGCTGCTCAACTGAAATGTTATACTTTAGCAGGCCAGCTGCTACCAAGTGCATAGGAATTATTGATCCACGCCCACGTCATATAAATTGTCAACCACACTATAGCGAAAATAGACATGAATTCACTTTAGTGAATAAAATGTTCATTTTATTTAAGAGAACTTCATTCAGTGAATGAAATGAAATGAATGAAATTAAATTACCATTAAGATAGTGTAATAAGATAACATTAAGATATTTGGCAGACAATTTATATTTCCCGGGTACCTATTTACTGCTACTATCTTATAGAGTCGAGAACAAACTCTTCCAAATATGAAGTAAGCCCAAGAATTGAAATACCTATTTAGTACCTAAAATGTTACATTGTTTAGTGAAAGATTTGTATTTCACTATTATGGAAAGTTCATAGGAAGACGAAAGCCAAAATACAGTTGATAATTAAATGGTTCAGAGGCGCGGAAGATTGAGGCTGGCGTGTGACGGGAGCGCGTGGAGAGCCTCGTAGAAGTCCGGCTCGTCAGTGTTGTCGTTCTCCATGGCTTCTGACCCATCAAGCTTTGGAGAGTAAAAAGCTACGCATTAAAATATATTCATACGCATCTTAACGGTGTTTGATAATGTTTTTAAAATATGTGAAGTGCTTTAGCTTACTACAAGATGACTGCATCCAATATATATTTATTCAAGTACTTTCATATAGTTCATCTATTACTCTAATCTCACAGGTTAGTCATACATGGGAACCAGGAGTGAAAGTACCTGCCTCAATACAAAAAATAAATTAAATGTGACTAAATAGTACTAAAAAATAACTTTATGATTTTCATAAGAGCTAAATACTGAATCATGGAACTATTATAATATTATTTTTTGCCAGTTTCTATAAGATTCCTCTCAAATAATGTTTTTATTATGGTTGCCCGGAACCTCTCAGTTGTGAACCGACTGTGCTGTCTACTGTGTGCTAATCATCGGTTGTCTAGTGACCCTGCTCTATATTATATCTAAGCTTGCTAACATGTCAGAAGGCATCTACCCTTCTACTCTTCACCGTAAAAAAAAAGATACTTACAGCATTCAGTTCGGATTTAGAGAAAATTATGGGTAGGAAGTAGAGTCTGAGCGGGACCAGCAGACTTAGGACGAAGGGCAGAGCGAGAGCGACTGACGACTCCTTCACACTCCACAAAACACCAAGCATTATCAGCTGCACTATCGTGAACATGTGCATCTTCACTGTGCGAACCTGCAAAGGGAATAACATTACAAAGCAGCTCTTCATTTACGTATGCCACATTACACTGTCGACATTATGAGACAAATAGCTAGCTTAAACTGCCCAAGCTAACAATTCCATACCTTCTTAACGAAGGGTGTATCAGGGTGGTATTTGACTGGCATAAATATGAGAACCAGTCGCTCCAGGAAATGAATGCCAGCAGTGGCGGCAATACCCATGTAGAGGAAGACGCCAAGCAACACTGCCTTTGGCACCAGGTTCACCACGTCTGGGAACAGAACAGCCAATCCAACCAAAATTGCCACCGCGAGACCACTTAGTCGCTGCTCTGTAAATTAAAAAGACTGATTGTATTTTGGAAAAGAAATGTTCATAAACGAAATTACTTTTAAATATAATAGACAATAATTTATAATTTCCAGTTTACTATATATACGGAAACTCATACAAATCATATGAATTATTATGAATCAATAATGAATCATTCCTTCTTATTGATTCAGAAGGAATTGATCCTTCTGAAGAGCAAGAAGAATTATTATACTCATAAGAATGGCATGGGAGGTTCTGTGCCTAACACGCACAGAATGTGTGGATAGTTTTAATAAAATCTATTAAATTGCTGACCATGCACATATGATTACTAATCACATTTACTTAACCCTTACGCCGCAGCTCTCATCATTTAATGTTTTTCAATGCAGATATTGATAACTGGGATTTTCTTATGAATCTAAATAATTACAGTACAGTACTAAAATTTCACATTTCCTTGGTTATTATTACTTGATATTAAAGTAAACCAGTTATTACTGTATATTAAGATAAACCTAATTATTAAACCTATATTATATATAGAAAGTTAATAAGTAGCATCACCTTACCAAAAACTATTAAAGCAAAATTTTCCGTTAGAAAGTGAAAAACATCACTGAAGTAAGCCGGACTCTGCCGGGAAGTAGCCCGTTCTCGCGAGCGTACCAACGTCAGAGAACATTTAAGTTCCAAAAGCTTGAATATGATTCAAGTCCGAAGAAACTGTGGTACTAGGGTGCCTTAACCAAGGGGGACCCACCAACAGAAAACGGGATATTATGTCAATATCGCGAGCCGCTACCATTTTCGTACGTACCTCTGACACCTTCCACCTGAGGCGGTTGTCCAGGAGAGCGAGCAGGGCTGGTAACGGTGAGGGCGGCGACGTGAGCCACAGTCCTGATACACGCCGGGCCCATGAAGGGAGCCCCGAAGAGGCCAGACATCAGGTTGATGAAGCACGACAGTACAAGGTCTAAGTGGAAGCCTGTTCCTTTTACCATCTTGCGCTCTGGTTTACTCAATATTAAACTGAAAGAAAAAAATCCATTACTAAAACATGAGATCAAAAGAGAAAATTGTGAATCTTATTATTACACCGAATATAAATCAGATAAAGTACAATTAGTACTTCAAGTACAAAAATATTATAGTTACTCTCGGTACAATTAATATAAAACTGTTACATACTGGCAGATGCTTCCTTCAAGGAAGACCAGGAAGAAGATGAGGAGGGCTGCGGGCGCCGCAGCGAACATGCACCACACTGGTAGCGGCTTCACCTGCCCAAGCGGGTTAATTATCCAGCCGCGGATGTCAGGGCTGGAAGGCTGTAGGCCTTCAGGCATTGTCAGCTTGTCAGTGAATGTGTCCTTTATGAGGAAGTCCAACAGCACCATGAGAATAATTGCGATAGGTACACCAAAATCTCCAAGAGCTCTGCGGACCTGTACAACAATGAGAATAAAAAGAATTAGACATTTGACTAATACTGTAAAATCGTTTTATTGCTATGACTACAGATATAAGAACAATTACTAATTGAATGGAAAATTACTACTAATATTTCCTGGCTTAATAATATTTCAACAACTTTGTTCTAGCATTTGATTATTTCCCCAGGAGGCGCCTAGTTTCTTGTGAACCTTTACTCATCATGTGAGTAAGGTATAGCGCAAAAGGATCGCGGATGACAGAAAAGGTCTAAATTAAACCTTAATTACATTAGTGGACAGTTACATTAACCTGCACACCATATAATGATCTTAGGTATCTTAGAGTTAGTCAACCGTACTGTGTTTCAAGACATTTCCCTGACTCAGCACTGATTACATCAATTTTTTGTTAATCAATATTCCAGATATTTAAAATTTACAATTGCTTTTTCCACTACTAATTTTTTTACTATGTTAACTTTTAACAATCTCTGACACACTAGTTGAACAGTTTCAACCATCTATCTGAGGAGGCAGTAAAGGTAAGAAAACATTTGAGATACCACCAAACAGTTAATGAAATAAAAAGTTGGGTCATGTCAAATTTGTTTCGTTCAAATGATAGAACATTGATGACATAACAATTTAAGAACACTATATTATATATTAAATTTACATTAATACAAATTATAACTTCTAACCTAATTTATGAATATGTAAATACTTGTGTATAAACGCATGTTTTATAAGTTATTTTGCTGATGTCAGACGTAATATAAAACTTATATCAGATGTAATGTGAAACTTACACTTCTTCCGAAGAACTTTGAGTTACGGAACTTCTTGAGCTGTGTGGCGACGGTGAAGGTTCCCAGCATGAGGATGAGGGAGAGGAGAGCGGTGTTGGGCTGAGGGGAGACTCTTGCCGGTGTTGGTACGTCTCTGCCAGTGGTGTTCAGCCACACATCTGTGTCGTTAAATTCCCCATCCGGTCTGAAACTAACATAAATGAAAAATGTAACATGATTAGTTATGATATACACAATTTTATGAATATTTTCCAATCATTTCATCATCTATTTTTATAAATAGATTGCATGAAGAAGGCGCAAGTTAATTTCAAACATGGCAGCATAACTTCTATAAATTCAAACTCGCATTTGAGACTTGAAATTCCGACGATTCGGTTACTCATAGAACATTTATAATGTGTGGATTTAGTATTTCTATAATATCTAATGTACACATATTATTACAAAATGTAAAATCGATTATTCATGATCTTCCTTCCTCTTTTAGGTCTTTTAGTATTTTTGAAGTCTTTTTGAAAATAGAAAGGACAAAAAAATCACCAAAACTAATGAAGGCATGGTGTTTTAAGTATATAAGAAGAGAACATTCCTTGAAACTTACCCTACTTACATGTAAGTATAATATAACATATGTATGTCGTACCTATGTAGTACATTCTCATGTATTGTATGTAGTACATCCTACTTACATGTATCTACACCTCTCATGTACTGTATGTAGTACATCCCTACTTACATGTATCTACAGTACATTCTCATGTACTGCATGTAGTACATGAGAATGTACTACATCCCTACTTACATGTAAGTAGAGATGGCCCTACTTACATGTATCTACACCTCTATTCCCGAACCAAGATCATACATACTTATTTATTTTTTAAATAGAATCTGTTGCTTTAATACTACAAATGTGCTAACTTACTTGGCGTGTAAAGTATCATTTCCACAGCTATACACTTCCAAGAGTGGATGAAAATGGAAAATAGCCACCATCTTCGTAATTGCCTCGTAGACGAAGATAAGACAGATGAGCGACGCGAAGATCTCTTCCATAAACCTTGTGAACTTTCTCATGATGACAGCAGCTTCAAAAGCGGTAAATATTATCCCAATGACCAGCATCCACATGCCAATCCACACTCTCATGGACAGGAAATCAAGTTCATATTTCTGGGTGAACTAGATAGAAAGACAAAAATTATTAACCTACTCCACACATTTTTATTATGAAGTTTGCAAGCATTATTATCAATCAAATATTTTACACATAAATTATCTACAGCTTAATCAAAGTTGATAACAACCAACACATAAGAAAAGGCAAAAATACTCACTTGGTACAGACTTTTATCAAAAACCATAAGAGGACCTGTCGAGCCAATCATGAGAATGGGCTGGGCAGCAAACATGGCAACGATGGCACCATTCACAGATGACAGCAGCAAACATTCTCCGACTCCAATGTAGTTATGTGTGAAGTCGCCTGAATCATAAGTCAGATATTAATGTATAAAATGCAAATTTACTGATATACAAGATCAAAAATGTTGCAGGAAGCCTGATGTAAGGTTAAATAGAAATGTCAAATGATAAAGAGGAGATTAGAAGTTAGTACAGAAAATATTTCTAGGCTTAAACATCATCGTACAGTTTCTCAACTCAATTAAATGTTTATCCCTACTATAGTCAAGTGAGAACTTACCATACATGCCACCAAAGGTAATGGCAGTTGAGAGGAAAGCAAAAAATATGAAGATGGTTGCAGCCAACACTTGTATATTGAAGCCATCTACAATGTCCGAGAGATACATAGGGTAGCGTTCCTTAATGTCCAGATAAAGACCATAGAAAGGCTTTCCTGCGCGAATTAGAGGATTCCGTTTTTTGTTCCCGCCATCACTTCCAGTCGATAATCCTGTTACAAGAAGTTAATAAAAATTTATGCACGAAAACAGTCAAATAATTTAATTATATATGTATTTACACAGAATTGACTGCAATTATTTACTGAAGAGATTAAATTAAACAGGTTTCAATCAAGAAAAATTGCAGTTTATATTCAACATAAAAGATAAATAAAATGAAGAGGTATATCTGAAGGTTGGACTAAAACAAATACTTTAACCAAGAAATATTCTTGAATAAAATTCTACCTTGTTCCTGTTGAGCACTTCCACTTGAGATGCTTTCACTTGTTATGTCATGTGTGCAGGTGGCACGAGGCAAAACATAATTAGCAGCAGAAATTAGTTGGCCAAGGGAGTTAGCAGTGTAAGCTGTCTCGAGGAACGCTTTATTGGCCATTAGTGTGAAGATAGAACGAGAAATCTCATGGTAGTCCTTTTCATCTTGGAAAGAACCAAGGAGGACAAATATGAACTTCACAGGCACTGAAACCTGGAGAAAAATAATAATAATTACATAAAAATTCAACGATATAACTTTAATCCTATCAATTGCCATATTTTATTATAGATGCATCACGTTATTGTGACGTTGGGAATTACACATATATATAAAATCAATGTCAGCTAGACAGCTTTCTTCAAGTCGGACGAATGTTGATAACAAACCTCAATAAAATCTTGCAGCAAGATTCTTTCAGACAGTCTGACGAAGACGAGGATGGGATTCGCAAGGAAGTTCAAACTTCCAGCCAACATCACTGTTAATTCTTCTTGCGCAGCGTCATTGTTCTTGATATCATCAATTTCAATTTCCTGATAAAGAAGTGCAAGCATTCTGTATTACCATCCATATTTCATTTAATACTACAAGAGAATACATTACTACTATAAGAGAATACATTACATTACAACTATGAGATAATACATTACATTACTACTAAGATAGACTGTCTGTCCATTATGTATTAATGTATTCTCATAAATACTATGAAAGAATATGTCTGTTCGAAGTTGGAGGCCAGACGCTTCACCCAAATTGACTGTGTCCATTATGTATTAATGTATTCTCATAAATACTATGAAAGAATATGTCTGTTCGAATTTGGAGGCCAGACGCTTCACCCAAATTGACTGTCTGTCCATTATGTATTAATGTATTCTCATAAATACTATGAAAGAATATGTCTGTTCGAAGTTGGAGGCCAGACGCTTCACCCAAATTGGCAGAGATAATGGTAATAATTGGCACAGAACATAGGCAGGTCGGGTTTGCCAGAATTCAAAAGGGAAACAATAGAATTCAGACCCCCCACGACGATTTGTGGCACTGGCTGCAATAGTTTTGCCATAACCCTGTACATATGTTAAAAAAAAATCAAATATGTGCTTTGTTTTATAACAATATGTAACATTGCTCACTTGGAAAGTAAAGATGGAGGAAGCCACCTCCATCCACAACTTGAAAGCTAGATTCGACAGGAAATTCGATATAGGATAATTAAATTATAACGCATTATAATAAATGCATGGGTAAGTACTGATAGGTAAGCATCGGAGCGTGGCGATGATTGGTGGTCTGCTGCGGTGTGGTCACCGGCAGCAGTGTGAGAGGTATCTTGAAGGAGGGAGGATGCGCGCCCGCCCTTGTCTCTGTACCTTCGGAACTCTTGTACTAGAGATACTATCTACTTAAGGATAGATGACCACTCCACGAAAGAATGTGCTCAATTCTTAGCAACGGAATTAGTGCCTGTCAACCGTGTGCAATCAACTACCAATGAGTACGTCGCCCTGCGATCCTGACAGCAAGACCTCGCCCATGTTCTCACAGGGAAATGTCTTGATGTCTCCGTCCTCCTACCTAGCCTGTAGGAGGACTGAGGACAGCTCCAGCTTCGAGGTAAGCACTCTTCATGGTAACCACCCACATTCTTATCCTGTGGGGGCGACGCCATTTTTACGTGGTACCGGTCTTCCCCTATGGCATAAATGTCTTCCTAAGCATCTGGACCTAATTACGTTATTTTTGTGGCCCAATAAATTATAGAACCCATATCTATTAAGGATGGAAATTTGTACCCACCCCAAAAAAGGTTCATGTTATATTACTGAAATTAAGTTGCCACGTTATCGGTTCAAATTTTAATTTAACAAATTTAAACTACACATTTAATTAATGTTACATATATTTAATTTAATCATTTAATATGCGGCACATATATTTATTGTTTAAATGTAGTCTTAGAAAATGCGAGCATTATTTTAACTTACCTCAGTGGAAGAAGCGTAGCGGATGTAAGTGGCTGACTCGCCAGTTAAGTTATACCTGGAAGCACTGCTAGTGGATACACCACTATTAAGGTCATCAGCACTATTGATACGACTGAAAATGCTGTTCGCAGGGGGGAAAAAATAGTCAGACTTAATTAATAGGTAAACAATAAAAAAACACGGCAATGTAATTATGAGAAAAAAATCATATACAGTTACATATTATTTATATAAGGGACTCCTACCTGTCATTTACTAAGGACAAGATGCGTTTTCTCAGGAGGATTGTGATAACTTGGTCCCGCTGGTCGGCGGGGATCTGGTGGCTGGCGATCATGTGGTCCACCACCCGGGTGACAATACCAGTCAGGTCTCTCTCTGCCACATCCAGCACAACTCCACCTACAATAACACGAAGATTGTCATTAATAATTTGTATATAAAAATAATACAAAACCTAAAAGAGAAAAGCCAGTAAAGTGAGATTATATTAAATCATATTTTTTAACAGACGTTGATGATTCTCATATGATATCTTGTGTTGTTCAAGGGGTGCACGTAAAAGGACACGTGTTTTTTTCCTAACGCTGGGATAGGTGACAAGCAGGACAACATCTTGTCCAGCAAAGGGGACAACAGGAGAAGGGTTAAAAATGTCAAGACGCCAACAGATTCTTATGTCAACTGTTAGCTGCTACAGTCTGTTAACTGTAATGCCAATCCTGACCTTAAAAGTCTCATTGAAGGTTGTAACAGAACCCATGAGCACCACACCTGAAACAAATACCTTTTTTGATAGTCCAAGAGTACGACTTAATCAAACTAGAAATGCTCTACAAATCAAGGGACCCAGAATGTGGAATGACCTTCCCAATCATGTTAAAGACTGTACCTCTCTTAACCAGTTTAAGATAAAAACTAAGCACTACCTAATTAACTCCCTGTAACCTACCTTACCCCCATAATGTCAACCCATGTCTGTTATTTTTAAACAATGCTGTTTGTCGATCAAATTATATTTTTGCTGTTTTCCTTCCATGTTCCCCTATTTTTTATTTTTTTATTTTTTCAACACTTTTTATACTTTAATCTCAATTAGTATTAAATTTTAGTCTTTAGTGTTTTTCCTGCCCGAAACGCTTTACGTAATAATGGCTTTAGGCATTATATGTACTAGCTCTATCTATAAATTCATCAAAATCTGTATCACCCCTTGTATGTATGTACTTTACCTAAATAAACATTTGAATTTGAATATGCAACTCCGAATTTACCAACTCGGAAGAATTATGCAACTCTGTCAAGTGCTAGATAGAACACAAACATAATGGTACCCCATACCAGAACCACAGATATTGACACCAAGTAAAGCACCCAGTACTTCCACAAATGCGATAACATAATTCGTATCTGTCAACAAGGCATAAACGGCATAAAAGACGCAAATCGAACAGTCCGGTTTATAAATGAAACAAATGAAGCGTTTGCAGCTGTAACTGAAACTCACACCAAGGATTAATTTGATAGTAAAATATGGATACCGAAATACAGTCTTTTCAGATATGGCAGGAAATATAGACTACAGGATTGGGTAAGCCTGTACATCAAAGGCTCATTCGCAATGAGCATCACAAATGATATTGTGGAGGTGCTGCTAATGAAGATATAAATACTAAATATAGTTGTTGTCCATTTATGTAATTCACCAGAGGCAAACACTCATAAGTTTAAAGACCAACTAAAAGAAATAGAATACTGCTTAGAAATCTTCATAAACCCAGCCCCGAATATCTATCAATCTTGCTTGGGGACTAAAGCCTACTGCACCAAAAATGGAAGAATATTGCAAATACATATATATCTTGAGAGAATCCCAGGAAGCAGTCTAATAAAATGACCTCGTACGGATGTTTGATATATTCATTTAACCATCAAATAGTTGAACCAGCTGCAAATGAAAACACTCCAATTTTCACAAATAATGGTGAATTAGCCAGGAGCATAATGATTACAAATACATGTTATTCAGATCACACTAATCGAAGTTCTGACTAGCAGAGGAATTCTACTGCACATCCAGTTTCAAATCCAAGGTGATTAAAATAATAAAATTTAATTATAATAATAAACATTAACTGGGAACTAATAAACGAAGACCTCACAGAAATAACCTGGGAATAACTGCTAGAAAATGCAAAATGTTGTCACGAATTACCTTGGGAAAATTTGCACGGTAGCACTAGAAATATGCTCAAGCCACATACGACTGCGAAAATCGTATATTATAATGTTCCCTCCATATGCGAAGAAACCTAATCGTAGAACAACTCGACCCCCCCCCCCCCACTCTATCCCAAAAACTATAAAAAAGGACATTAGAGAAATAGAACTGAATATTGTATATTATTTAATAATAAAGAATCTAAAGGAATCAAAATCCGAGAGATGCAAAGACCAACAGTGAAATAGAGAGGATACCAAAATAGTTTTTTCTCATGCAAAATATAGAACAAAAAATGCGTCTAGCATTGGGCCCCTAGGGATATGTAAATGAGTGAAATGTTGATACGGTTAAATTCTATTTGCAGTGAAAATAGTGCAATGAACTTCTATAATCCAACCGAATTTTTTACCAACATCAAATCATATATCAGATGTCACCCTAACCCCCTCTGGACCTTGAAGTAGCCATGGACATTATGCTCATGTACTTCGCACCAGGCCCTGATTCCTGTAATTCCATATTCAACAAGAGCTGCTAAATAAAAAAAATACTATCACAGGCCCTTAACATTATTTGGAAACGGAACCTAGAGAACCTAGATACTGTTGCTATCCCAAACAGAAAACAGAGGAGATAGTGCCACTCCAGAAAAGAACTAATAAAGCAGAAGCAAAAAATTGACTGTTAGCACTATCACACATCATAATTTTTAAAGAATGCTAAGTATTAAGATCAGATAACATATGGAATCACAGCGTTTTGGCATGGAAGAGCATGCGTTTTGCTTGCGCATGGCAAGCAAAACGCTGATGTAATATACAGTACACAGATTTCGCGTAAGCTTTCGACAAGTGTGGTGTTATTGCACACAAGGAAATACTAGCAACACACGAAGATGGATCTGTAATTTCCTAACGAACCCAGAGTGTAATAGTTAACAAAGTTAAACCTGAATCATTCACCGTGCGAACCTCGGGCTTCCAAGGTACTGTGCTTGATTCAGAACTTATCATCTTCATATCAGATGAGAAAGAACACAAACAGTAGTAGATAACGACACAAACAGTAGTAGACAGGGGCACAAACAATAGTATCGTATATAATAGTATCTTTTGCAGATGACACTAGGCTTTTTATGAGCCGACAATATTGAGGACAGCACACCTCCGAATTTACAAGTTCTTTAAATGGGGGAAAAAATAGAAGCTAGAGAAAATAATGTTTAGGGAAGATCTTGCGATGAAATATATAAAAATGGCAGTCACATTTGAAACACCGTCAAATCACACTATACGGTGGAACGAGAAAGCAATATAAAAGATTTAGGAGGAATCATGTAGGCAGAACACAAACTAGTTGTCACAATTGCAAGAAAAATGACAGGTCGGGTGACAAGACCATTTTAAACAAGAACTGCAAGACCAGTGATGATACTTTTTAAGTATGATAATTTTTTAATATTAAAGATGATACTTTTTAAGTATCATCTTGTGAAATTTTGATGCACAACATCAGCCCAATTCAAAGCTGGAGAAGTTGCTGACATGGAAAACGTGCAAAATGTTAAATTTATATTCCCTAGATCTAGCGCAGAGAAGAGAGATAGATATAATAATTTACACTTGGAAAATATTAGTTACTGATTCCAAATCTGCACACGGAAAGGCACAAGAAGACCAGAAGACATAAGAAATGCAAAACAGCCTCGTTGAAAATGGAAGGGGCAATAGGGACGCGAATTCAATAGTGAGAATTCTGTCAACATCAAAGGCCCAAGACTTTTTAACATTCCCTCTACGCATGAGGGGCATAACTGGCCGACCTAAACACCCCTGATCAACCGGGCTGTAATTCATACGACAGGGTCCGAAGAGCTGCATCTAACAACCTAGTTGACCAGGCCAGAGACCGTGCCGCTGAGACATTGAACTTCGAAACCAACGCAAGGTAAGGCATTGAAATGGATAAATACATGCACAGGGTCAATATAAAATGTACGAAAGGCAACAGGAGATTTATTTTGGGATAATGTACGAAAGGCAACAGGAGATTTATTTTGGGATAATAAATAGATGATCAACCAAGTGGATGACCCAACCCCCCACAAGCTAATTATATTGTATGCTATACTTCAGATGCTGTAATTTAATTAAAATATTAATAAATTATAATTGCATGCTTCAACAAATAAAAGCTATTTGCTTACCTAATGGGAAGTCTGGACGTGGAGTTAACCTATCATTAGCAATAGAGTTTCTTAAATTATTTGTATCCTCAATGTGATTATGGTCCAATGTAATTTTGATGCTGATCAATTGAACATTACAAATTGGGCTGTCCATGTCTTCTGCAGCTATTGTGATGTCCCAGGCCTGACTAACTTGGGCGTTCTCTTCTGCAGCTGCTGCGATGCCCAGGCCTTACTAACTTGGGCGTTCTCTTCTGCAGCAGCTGCGATGCCCAGGCCTGACTAACTGTTGGGCTTTGGGGAACTTCCAAGCCTTATAGCGCCCTGAAGTGTGGTGGACATCGGCTTCCAAATGTAAGTGAGACCTGTTTGTCGATGATTTCCGCTCACTGATTCCAAGAATATGCACTTAAATAGAACTACAGAGGTCCTATTGCCCCATACATTGTAGTTTTTATTTATATTGCACCAAACAATTATATATACAACGCATATATGTACAATATTAGGCCTCAGCTTGCATTAGGCCTTTGATGGCTAGGCTAGGTTAGTTTTATTAGCAACATAAATACAAAAACCTTTTCCGATTTGTCCAAATTCAATAGTACCAAACTCTACTTTCTAATTGTCCATAGTACTATCTAAACAGGAGGATGGGCTGAAGTATTCGATATTCCAAGAGTCCGAGTCAACCAAAGCAGAAATGTCTTGTAAATAATGGGTCCGAAATTGTGGAATGATCTCCCAATTGAGATTAAAGGCTGTACTTCTCTCAATCAGTTCAAAAGATAAATAAGAAATGCCTTATTAACACAATGCAACAAATTTTACTTACGTTTCTTCATCCCAAATAAGTCAATTTGTGTTTTCCTGTTATAGTGAATAATAAATAATATATTTGCTATGTTACTAAAACTATAGATTTCATAATAAATAGTCCATTCCTTTCAGCATTGTGACTTAAAACTTTTAGATCCTTTGATAAGTTTCTTGAAAAAAGGCATTATTATAATATATAATTTTTGTACCTATAAATTAACTAACGTAGTGTGTATAAAATGTGTATTTTATACATAAAACTAGATTCTTTAGTCTAGTTCAAGTAAGTTTATTGAGATAATACAATACTTCCCAAAAGGAGAGTAGCTTAGGCTGTTTCTACCCTCCTATTACACGTCCCTCAAGAGGATTGAAACAATCACCACCTTTGCGTAACAGTCCCCCCACGGTGGTGTTAATTGTTTCTTAGATAATTCAATACATTCTTGCAAGACATTATATTTTGTAACAAAAAGTTCCAATATATCCTCCCTTGTTAGGGAAATTAACACGGAAGAAGACTCACTATCACTTTAAGTTGATCTAAATAGGGTTTTGAAATGGTCAAAAGACTGGCAGATGCAGTTTAATGCTAATAAATGTAAAGTTTTTAGGCTAGGTAATGATGATAGTGTTACAAGATACGAGCTGGATGGTGTTGAGATTGCGAAGTCGGATTGCGAAAGGGATCTGGTAAGAATTTAAAACAAAAGGATCAATGTATGAATGTTCGTAATAAGGCAAATAGGACACTGGGATTTATTAATCGAAGCGTTAGTAACAAGACACCTGGTGTGGTTCTTCAGCTATATCTTGCTCTGGTTAGGCCCCATTTAGATTCTGCAGTTCAGTTTTGATCGCCGTACTATAGAATGGATATAAGAACATAAGAACAAAGGTAACTGCAGAAGGCCTATTGGCCCATACGAGGCAGCTCCTATCTGTAACCACCCAATCCCACTCATATAAGAACATAAGAACAAAGGTAACTGCAGAAGGCCTATCGGCCCATATGAGGCAGCTCCTATCTATAACCACCCAATCCCACTCATATACTTGTCCAACCCGCGCTTGAAACAATCGAGGGACCCCACCTCCACCACGTTACGCGGTAATACGCGGTTCCACAAATCAACAACCCTGTTACCGAACCAGTATTTACCCAAGTCTTTCCTAAATCTAAACTTATCCAATTTATACCCATTGTTTCGTGTTCTGTCTTGTGTTAATACTTTTAATACCCTATTAATATCTCCTTTGTTATGTCCATTCATCCACTTGTAAACCTCTATCATGTCACCCCTAACTCTTCGCCTTTCCAGTGAATGCAATTTAAGCTTTGTTAATCTTTCTTCATATGAAAGATTTCTAATTTGGGGAATTAACTTAGTCATCCTACGCTGGACACGTTCAAGTGAATTTATATTCACTTGAACGTGTCCAGCGTAGGATGTATATGATTGATGATTGATGAAGATTAAGCCACCCAAAAGGTGGCACGGGCATGAATAGCCTGTAAGTGGTGGCCCTTTTGAGCCATTACCAGTATCAATAGATAATACTGGAGATCTGTGGAGGTGCGACTGCACCCACCTCCACCACGTTACGCGGTAATTGGTTCCACAAATTGTTTTGTCGAGTATCTTGCTGAAGGTCTCTGTTAGGGAGGCAGTAATCATTGGAACAGTGGTCACTTAATACGGCTTTGGTTGCCTTTCTTTTTTTTCACGAGGTTAATTAAGGACATACACACTCTATTGGCTTTAGGGTTTAAGATGTTCATAGTTTTTTCCATTTACTGGGAATACTATACTTTTTATATAATTAATATTTTAGAGGTCTAACAATGTTTTTTCTCCATAACAGTTAGTGCGTTATTTCATACTTGGGGAAAATTGAGATTTAATTGCCATTAATACTTCATCCCGGGTACTGTCTGTGCAAGTGACATCCCCAATTGTGCCACCTCCTTAGATCTTTCCAAGAATCTAATGACTTGTTGTGGCGGGCAATGAACTAATTGATTGATTGAAGATTAAGCCACCCAAGAGGTGGCTACAGGTGTGATTTACGAGTAGCCCGTAGGTGGTAGATAATTGGAGTGAATGTGAAAGGATAGTCGCAAGTGAATCAGGTAGTAAGCCCTTCAGTTATCAGATTTTCCTGGTCGCCGGGAGGCCTTTGGTCCTGGTGTACTGTATACTGTGTGTTGAGCACACTTAACTGATCATGTTGCAGTCCTTCTTGCCTGAAAGAATTCTTGGAAAGCTGGAAGAGATGCAAAACGAAGCCATGCGGATTATCCTCAGATGCCCTCGTACAACAAAATTACTAAACATGAGGAAGGAGTTTAATATCCCACGTGTAAAGTGATTGATTTTCTAACCAATATTTCAGTTGGCATGAAGATACTTAAGCTAACCTAACTTCGGCACTGATGCCCAAACTTCTCAGTATTTCGGTTACGTCCTCCATTCGAATCGCACCTCTGCATGATCAAAAGGTTTCAATATAATTTAGCTTCCTTTAATAAAACGTGTCCGAAGCAGATAGAATATATCTATAGTTTTCTTGATTATTGCTTAGTAATAATGTTAACAAATATAGGTTACTTAAATCAAATATAAACAATTCCATTTAATTCTCTTACAGTCTGTACTTAAATATGAAGTCACCATTTGCTGCTATTTGGCCAATGGTCTAGTTTCTTGTTTAATTCAAAATTCCTTAAAGATTTGCGTTGACGTTCTGCTAATAAACTAATTCCATTTGCCTGTAAAGACGAATTTTCTTGGTTTTATGCTGTAATAAGTTACATTCTCATAGTTTTTGTTTCAGGTGTAATTTTTTCGTAACTAAATACTGTACTCTACATATATATTCTCTCTCACCAATTTCTCAGTTGCAAGTTATTTTTTTAAATACACACCTATCATTTTTCCATTCTCTGCTCTTGCTATTTATGTTCTACATTAAAAATTTTACTAATTAAACAATAATTAAATTATGCAGAGGAGGAGTCACAATAACGTGGCTTAAATATGTTGACCAAACCACACATTAGAAAGTGAAGGGACGACGACGTGTAAGTCCGTCCTGGACCATTCTCAAGTTGATTGTGACTTGAGAATGGTCCAGGACGGACCGAAACGACTTCGTCCCTTCACTTTCTAGGGTGTGGTTTGGTCAACAATTAATTAAATTACTTAAATGGAACTTTTTTCATTCCCACCCCCTTACCAAATCCTTTGCTCAAATCTCATTTGTATGGATACCATAACACATAAAATATAATCCATCATAACAGACATTGCAGTCAAATTAGTATGTAACAAAGATAAAGCTGAATTAGACCTAGGTATCCCCGTCTCTGCTGTCAAAACTATATTGTTCCAAATACTCAGGTCTGATAGGAAAGAAATTACTGACTCCCAACGACCTGAAAGCACCAGTATAAAAAGCTATGATTTGTTCAGATCTGAACTTCCAGGTTCGGGGAGACATCTCCCGTCACGCAGGGTGCAGTCGCACCTCCACAGATCTCCAGTATCAGCTCTTGATACTGGTAATGGCTCAAAAGGGCCACCACTTACCGGCTATTCATGCCCGTGCCACCTTTTGGGTGGCTTAATCTTCATCAATCAATCAGATCTGAAACCTATGTTTATTGGCAGCACAAAACATCCACCAGACTGTGCGACACAGTGGTTGCCAGGATCAGGATGGGTTACAGTTACCTGTGGCAGGTAGCTACAGGTGACGGATCTCCCAATTCTAAACTTTGAGCAGGAACTGGATCATGATCTACACTACATCACCGAATGCCCAGTTATCAGACCATTCAGACCCATTGGCATAAGATACCTGGAGCTTTGCAATTACTTTATGTAATTGAGGATATGATCATATTGCACCCAAAATTTGCCAGTGCAGGCTACTAAACATGGCCCTGTATGACTAACCACCTGCGAGATGGAGACTCTATATTACTGCTACCTTATTCACTCTTGTGTTCATGATATCCTCATAATGCACCCAGAGTTTGCCAGTGCAAACTACTTATCATATGCCTTTGTATGACTATCCATCCTGTGTGATGGAGATTTTTAGCATCACGTAGCTAGCTTTTAGACACACTGTACTCCCCTTCATACAGCCTAGGGTAGCTGCACAAATGCTGATATACCTAAATGTGTTAATAAATATAAAACAAATGGCTCGCCCATCCATTAGTCCCTGAACCAAGTTATATCTGCGCCACCCTCAGATACGTTCTTCTTTGCCAGTTTATATTAAAAAACTGACTGCAGACATGGGGGATTATAAACTATGGCAAGCAGATGCTATATTATTAAAGTAAACAATTTTTTGCATAGTTGCGTATCATTTTATTAAGCCGAAGGCCCAGTTAACACAAACTTTTGTCATTATGAACCATAAAAATTACACAAATTTAAACATTCAGTAAAACAGCTTTGAAGACAAAATAAAAAAGACATTTATAATTAACCATTAAATCTATTGTTCTAAAAATAGTCAATACATGCCAAGGCTTTTGGATAAATTACAAACTAAATTACTGTTTTATATTTACACCTCAAAAATTCCTGTCAAGAATTCTACGAAAACATTTTGAAAAGTGAGTCATTAGGATACGAGCAGCACAAAGACTGCTTGTGGAACACATCAAGCTTTCTCTTGCTCTTGGTCAGCCTGGACAGGGAGCGCGTGTGGAGCCTCGAAGAAGTCTGGTTCATCATTATCGCTGGTTTTCATGGCTCCTGATCCATCCAGCTTTAGAGAATAACAATTACATGTTAATTAAAACAATTAAAGAAGCTATAATAGAATTCATAGAATTCTATTTACAAATCCTAGTATTTATTTTGTATCTAATATATTATGTTGCCTAATGAATTGCATTTTAGTTATCGGTCACTAACTAATGGGTATATTCATTTAAGGTAGTTATATAATCCATATATGATACAAAAGTAATTATAATAAATTATGTCACCAGACAAAATTACTTACAGCACAGAGTTCAGATTTAGAGAAAATGGTGGGTAGAAAATAGAGTCTGAGAGGGACGAGCAGGCTGAGGACGAAGGGCAGAGCAAGGCTGGCTGGTGACTCCTTCACACCCAATAAGATACCAAGCATTATCAGCTGCACTGCCGTGAATATATGCATCTTCATTGTGCGAACCTGCAAAATATACAGAACTTACAGAACTGAATTAACATCAGCCACATTACACTATCGGCAGTATGATATATAGATCAAATACAAATGTCAACAAATCCATACCTTCTTAACATAGGGTGCATCAGGGTGGTACTTGACTGGCATAAACATGAGAACCAGTCGCTCCAGGAACTGGATGCCAGCAGTGGAGGCAGTACCCATGTAGAGGAAGATACCAAGCAACACTGCCTTTGGTACCAAGTTCAGAGCGTCTGAGAGCAGGACAGCAACCCCAACCAAAATGGACACCACGAGACCACTAAGTCGCTGCTCTGTAAATCAAATAAATATAAATGTAATCTGGAGAATCGGTGAAGATTGCAAATTTGCATTTAGATTGAATAGTTGAAGCCTGCACTTTTATTCAAAAGCTTTTTACACACCAAATTAATTATTTCTATAAACTACGTATTGTACAAACCTTTGACACCTTCCACCTGGAGCGGTTGTCCAGGAGAGCGAGCAGGGCTGGTGACGGTGAGGGCGGCGGCGTGAGCCACAGTCCTGATACACGCCGGGCACATGAAGGGAGCCCCCAGGAGGCCAGACATCAGGTTGATGAAGCACGACAGTACAAGGTCTAAGTGGAAGCCTGTTCCTTTCACCATCTTGCGCTCTGGTTTACTCAATATCAGACTGAGTAAAGAAAATAAGATTATCAAAACAGATCTTTAATTTATGCAGAACATAATTCAGATAAGGTACAGGTATTTGAAAAGCGTCAGAGGAACTTCATTTGCTAGCAGCTATTTTCGGTTCAATTAATATAAAACTGTTACATACTGGCAGATGCTTCCTTCGAGGAAGACCAGGAAGAAGACGAGGATGGCGGCGGGCGCCGCAGCGAACATGCACCACACTGGTAGCGGCTTCACCTGCCCAAGCGGGTTAATCATCCAGCCGCGGATGTCAGGGTTGGAGGGCTGTATGCCTTCAGGCATTGTCAGCTTGTCGGTGAATGTGTCTTGAATGAGGAAGTCCAACAGCACCATGAGGAAAATTGCGATAGGCATACCAAAATCTCCCAGAGCTCTGCGTACCTGTGCAACAGTAAAAGTTAATATTAGTGGCATAAATATAGTAAGAATATTCGTGATTCAATCATTACCCAGTTCCATAATCACGGTAGACTAGTGAAACTCGTCCTCCTGATGAGATACTACTTTTTATAACTATGTGGACGATCGTACAAATATCGACGTGATGGACAAATGAAAAGTAGAATTTGGTATTATTCATTTTATAGACTGGAAAAGCTATCCAAATCCAGTAATACAAAAGCTAATTTCTATTGGTCCTTCACGTCCATATTTGTACGATCGCCCACTTCGTTGCTATAAGTAATTTGATTTTAAGAGGCTGGGCTGACTAGTAATATCGTAAGGCGTTACGTTAAAAGAATAACTTTATAATTAACATGCAGGCGATGAGTCACAATAACGTGACTGAAGTATGTTGACCAGACCACACTAGAAAGTGAAGGGACGACGACGTTTAGGTCCGTCCTGGACCATTCTCAAGTCGATTGTGATTTATAATTAACGTTATTCTACCATTCATTTCATTACTGTACTCTCTAATCTCCACAAAACAGCAAAGAAACATAAACTAAGTCCTTCACAAAAGCAGGAGGGCTTCTTTGTTTGTTGTAATGTACATATTATATTCAAATAAATTTACTTCGTTCTTCGTGTTGTCTTCACGGCATCCTTCCTACCCCTCAAAGTTACTTCCACTTTAGTCTACACTCGATAGTCATTCATTCGTTTTAATTAACATGCATCTATATTATTAATAATCTTGTTATGAAACGTTTACACTATTTCTCCAAAAAATATCTTACTCTCAATTCTGATAATTCATTCATATACAGTCTAAGTGAAAGTAAATTTAAGCACTAGCTTTTATTAAGAGGTTAAATAGTTGCTTCCTAACCGAATGTTATGTTCAGGATTCGTTCTTTAAACAATACCGTTAGAAAACGTAGTTTCGACCGTTTGAAAATATAAAATTTCATTGAAATTAAATTTCAATGAAAATATAAATTCTTACCTAGTTAAATATTGTATTACAAAGTGAGATAATACGCAAATACTAATATACAAATAAGTGAAACTTACACCTCTTCCTAAGAACTTTGAGTTACGAAAGTTCTTCAACTTAATGGCGATAGTGAAGGTTCCCAGCATGAGGATGAGAGAGAGGAGAGCGGTGTTGGGCTGAGGGGAGACTCTTGCTGGTGTTGGTACATCTCTGGTAGTGGTGTTGAGCCACACATATGTGTCATTAAAGTCTTCATCCAGTCTGAAATTCGCAAATGAGAACAATTTTGTTGTAATTAAACTTCATTGAAGAGAATTTAAATATTCACACAGTAATTTAACGTTGTTGCAGTTGTTTTAGGTTCAGCTACTCGGAACAAAACGTTCCAAGCAGCACAGGCTATGGTGAGCCCGTAGTGAACTTACCTTGCACAGGAGCGGGGCTGTAACTGCATGGCGTTTTAATAATAATATCTGATTAACTTTCTCCAGAGTAGCTTTAACGGTCATTTCTTTTCTGGGCTTAACGACTACCAGTAATCTCCAGCTTCCAAGTAAATATATATTTCAAGTAAATTATATTACTTAAATTAGCACAAAGCAATGCATTATTACTTGTTTAATCATTTCTTTTAGAAGTTTGGAAATTTGTTAATTTCACGTTACTTGTATAAGTCCTCAAGTTTGTTATCGTAGCCCATCATAAAACACTTTAATGCTAAAATTAAACTTGTTAAATTCTTCACGTAATTAGTTACTAAAAATCAGATCTACAGTTAAATATGCAATAATTCTTTTTATGAACAAATTTATAAAAGCTTACGTAGTTTGATGGAAGTAATTTTCACAGTCGTACTCCTGCAAGAGTGGATGGTCGTAGAAAATGCCCACCATCTTAACAACGGCCTCGTAGAGGAAGATGAGACAGATCATCGACGCGAAGATCTCTTCTGTGAACCTTGTTATCTTCTTCACGATAACTATACCTTCGAATGCGGCTACTGTCAACCCAATGACCACCATCCACAAGCCGATCCACACTCTAATAGACAGGAAATCTAGTCCATTCGCTTGGGCGAACTGTGAGTGAGAATTAATAATTTATTCATTACACGCTCAGAGTTAAACGTTCAGGCATAACTATTCAGCATATACTAGTATAATAATATTGATGTATTATAAAAAAAATGCCAATTTTAAATACGCAGTGAGTTAAAATTGATGAATGAGTCTTTGGGGTCGGCTACTGTTTTAAGGAGCCTAGTCCGAGGACAGATTGCAGTTAGTGCGTAAAGTTTAGTGAGTAATTCAATTCTTTTGAATTATAAGAAGTGGGAATTAGTGACTGATTTAACTAGTATTTGCATTTGGTTCGAGGTGTGCTGAATTTATTCACATCCACAACACCTTACTGCAAAATCAAATCTCTAACAGAAACAAAACACCCAAATTATAATACACAAATTATTACAAGCCATATTTTATATTAAAAATTTGGTTATACAGCAGTTATTTGGTTTCTGTCGCAGCTTTGAAGAGCATAGCGTGAGGATGGGTCAAAATAATTTTGCACAAGAGTTTTTGTAATCAAAAGCGACCCAAATACTCACATTATACAGGCTAATGTCAAAGACCATAAGAGGACCCGTTGGACCGATAATTAGCAAAGGCTGGGCGGCGAATACTGCGAAGATAACACCATTCACGCAAGATAGAAGGAGAGATTCCCCAACTCCAATTAAGTTATCTACTTTGTCACCTGAAAAATAATTGAAATTTTAACAAAATTCCGTAAATATGTTTTAAAAGTCAATGCATAAATATACAATATTATTCAACAGCATTATGACTTATGATTGCACATGTTAAATTACAAAGAGAATAATAACTTACTGTACATGCCACCAAAGGTAATGGCAGGCGACAGAACAGCAAAGAAAATAAATAGCGTTGCAGCGAGAACTTGTCCATTCAAACCATCTATAATGTCGGAGGGATACTTGGGGTAGCGGTCCCTTATGTCCCGGTACAGGCCGTAGAAAGGCTTCCCCACACGCAACAGAGGATTTCGTCTAGGAGGTTGGTCTTCAGTCGTCGCTTCTGTTGTAACACGTTAATGGCAGAAAAACGAAAAACATTAGGCACAAATTATAGCGTTAAAAATATATATACAGAGAAAAAATTAATTTATAACCATACTAACATTATAAACAGCAAAAGATTAGAAGGTTCCAAGCAAGGAAAATTATGATAAAGTTGAAACCACCGGAACCTATCTATTTAATGAACCTTTGAACTAGAAAAGTGATCAAAAAAGGAAATTATCAGATATATGTCATTTAAATACATTTACATTTTGTTGTAAAATATTAATGTATAAAGTCGTAATAGCATTAAAGCTTAAAAACTTGAAAGCAGACATTTAAAGAACTTAATTTTTGCACCAAGCTTTACCTAGTTCAAACTGATTACTCTTTATAGTATTGGTCTCGTTATTTCCGTCGGCAGTCGAAGTGGCAGGAGGCAAGACATCATCAGCAGCACATAACAGTTCATTCAGACTATGTGCCGTGTACGCAGCCTCGAGAAACTCATTCCTTTCCATGAGGGTGGTGATGGAACAACTAATTTTATGGTAATCCTTCTCATCGTGGAATGGACCAAGGAGGACAAATATGAACCTCACAGGCATGGAATCCTAAAAAAAAACAAAAAGTGGCGTCAATTTAATTACAACAACGCTTAAAATCAGCTTGATAGTCACCGCTTGTTAACGAATACTGTACCTCAATAGTGTTCGAAACCAACCTTTATACGATTTCCCAACACAACTTCTTCAGACAGCCTGACGAAGGCGAGGATGGGGCTCTGAAGGAAGCTCACGCCACCAGCCATAACCGCTGTCATCTCTCCAACAGCTCTGTTAAGCTGCAAAGTGATAAAATTTGTAAGTTTTAGTCTTGAGAATAAATTAGGTTTACATTGCATCCATGTTTTTAAATTTAGAAATAGTTATTTTATAAATGTTTAAACAAATTTAATCACTTTAGATATCTTGATAAACAAGTGCAACAATATTAGAAACCTTTGCACATAGTTTACTAAACTAAATAACTTTTACTAGTTTCTCATAAACTTTACATAAAAATAAACCAACCGATCCAATATTTAAATTTAAAATATGTAGCATGATTATTAATGAAGGCCAAAATGCCAGCCAGCATAATCAAGTACATTGGAGTTGAGGGCTCGGCGTCAGTGTATACAAGCCTTACCTCAGTGAAGCAGTCGTGGTGGATATAGGTAGTAGACTCCCTCATGGTATCCCTGTGAACAGTACTGCTGGACACGCCATTAGATTCATTAGCACTGTTGCTAGGGCTGAAACAAATCATCATTGGTAAATTAAACGAAAAATAAGAGTTGACTTAAAAATAATATTCAGTAGATTGCATATCAAATATATATAAATATAAGTTAGGTTATTACCGGTTCGTTGCAAAGATCGATGCGTATTTTTCCAAGAGGATTGTGATAACATGGTCTCGCTGGTCGGCGGGGATCTGGTCGCTGGCGATCATGTGGTCCACCACCCGGGTGACAATACGAGCCAGGTCTCTCTCTGCCACGTCCAGCACAACTCCACCTAATAATTAGAATACCATATTTAAAATTATGTAATATGCAACAAATAAAACAATGGAAAAAGTACATAAGCTGGCTCAGCGTAGTCTTATGCAATGAAGACAAATGTGGAGAATACAAAGGTAGTTTGCGACACAAATTCGAGACTCCGGACAAATTATCCAACCACCGATTAGAATCGTGGAGGACTGACCGATAAGACCACTGCACTTCATCGTGATCTGAAGTAGCTTTTAATATTCTCTTAAAAGCCAATCAAATCAGATAATGGATCAAATGAACAAATTCATTTCGTAACAATGAAAATATCTTAATTCCTACTGGTGAGGATCACGATTTATAAGCGCTTACAAAATTAACAAAATGGATAGACTGAAAGATGGATGGATGGATGGAAAGATAGATAAATGAGCAGATGAATAAATTGACAGATATAGATATAGGTAGACAGATGGATAAATAAATGGATAGATAAATAGATGGACAGATTTGAGACAGACCCTGGCAAAGACGGGCATCCCCTAGTTTTTTATATATGAAAATATACAGCTGAAAGACGTCTCAACAATGATCCACAACTAAGTGAATGTATAACCTAAACTATTGGACTGAAAAGTATAAAGAAATTAAGTCCACCAAGTTGATGAAAAACGGAAAATAACAGAAAATTATGCTTAACGCAAACAAGATGCGAGGATACATTCCCAAAGTACTGGAGCTTCAAGCCCCTCAACTGGAAACTGGCTAACGAACAAATTCAGGTACACTTGTTCCCTTAAACATAAAACTACTCCGAACAGAATACTTTACTCACCAAGCGGGAAGTCTGGACGTGGACTGAACTTCTCATTGTGAAAATCCTCGTCACAATTGTCAACTGCAATATGATTCAGATCCATAGTAACTGTAGTGGTGTCGACTCGCAGGTCACTAGTGTCTAGTTGGCTGGTACTGTACTGACTCACTATCTCACCGATACTCAATCCTGCCACTGTAGCTGCCTAGCCGCAACTGAACTGACAAAATGTACAACCAACCTCCTTTTATACACAACGTGCCGGGCAGGTAGACTGGGCAAATTGGAGAAGGTACAAAATAAAGCCATGAGATTAATCTTAGGATGTCCAAGAAATGCTGTGATTGAGATAATGAGGATGGAATTAAATCTGAAGAGTATTAGTAGAATTAGTAGAATTAAATCTGAAGAGTATGAGTAGAGAGAATGATAAGATATTTTAGAAAAAATGAGTATAAAGTAAGATTCATGTTGATCCCTTCACATGTGGAAATACTGTTGAATGGGGATAGAAATTGGGATAGAATTTTGAAGATAAATGTGGCCTCTGCACATGAGAGGTGTAGCAGCTGGACACCGTCATAAAGACTGTGAAGCAGTATCCTCCCCCGCGATAACAGCTTGATGGTTAAATGCAAACTCAGAATACTGAGAAAAAAAATTGTACCACTTACGGTCTATTCGTGCCCGTGCCACCTCTTGGGTGGCTTAATCTTCATCAATCAATGAGAGGTGTAGAGATGCAGACATGATTAATGAGAGGTGGGGGAGTTAATGAATTAATCCTCTCAGTTCAAAAGGTGGGAAGTAATGAATAATGTATGATACAGTATAATAAGAGAGCATATATGAGTACCTCATATTCTAATACTATCAAGTATGATGTTATTCCAGAATGCATTGCTTTGCCTAAGGGACAATTCACACCACCATGGGAAGATTGTAACGTAGATGTAGTAATTATTCTCTTGCAAAAGTAAAAGAGTGTGTATGACATAGGAGAGCTGAGGGTAACATATCTGGTTGATACCTAGTTGATGGGGTTCTGGGAGTTCTTCTACTCCCCAAGCCCGGCCCGAGGCCAGGCTTGACTTGTGAGAGTTTGGTCCACCAGGCTGTTGCTAGGAGCGGCTCGCAGGCCCACATACCCACCACAGCCCGGTTGGTCCGGCACCCCTTGGAGGAATAAATCTAGTTTCCTCTTGAAAATGTCCACGGTTGTTCCGGCAATATTTCTTATGCTTGCTGGGAGGACGTTGAACAACCGTTGAACAATATGATTGTGTAATTAGAAAATTACCTACAGAATACACTCTACATTATAGTGTGATCGGTCAGTAGCTAGGGATGGAAAGGTAGGACGTGGAGTCAGGATTAGGGAGTATACTGACATCGGCACTGTAGATCCTGTAATTGGACATCGCTTAAGTGATAATGTCTCATCAACGCAGGGTAAACTTCAAGGAATAATAGCAGGATCACATGAAGTAGTCAAATGTGGTAAAAATGCCTGTTTTTTATAGACAGTAGAGGAGCATTAGAGTCTTTTAATAGCAGACGACCAGTATACCAGAATATTGTGATCGAGTGTAGAGAGAATGATAAGACATTTTAGAAAAAATGAGTATAAAGTAAGATTCATGTTGATCCCTTCACATGTGGAAATACTGTTGAATGAGGCAATTGATGAGATAGCGAAGAGAGCCTTGGAAAAAAACTCTTGTCGATGTTGTATGTCAGATAACTCTGAAACAGATGAAGACAAGAATAAAGATGATCCAAGAGGACGAAGAAAAAGTTAAGAGAATGGCAATGGTGGACAGCAGTAACACACTTGAGCATTATACAGTAATAAATAAAAATTCGTTCTTTACTTATGGTAGAGGAAAGTCTACTTGGAAGGATTAAATTTACATGAGATTAAGAGTAGGATACAAATATATCTGGCAATACGGTGTTGATGTCAGTGAAAAATATAAGTGTAAATTATATAGCATGCCGCACGCCCACACCTTAGATCATTATGTATTAGAGTGTCAACTTATTGATAACTGTAGAAATAAGAAAATAAGTAGTGAACCACATCAAATTGTTTGGGTGTGATAATGGTATGATAGACAGAATACTTAGGAGCTACAAACATTTTGACCCAAGAGTGTAACACTTATATGCTGTGTTTACTATATTAACCTGCAATGTTAAATGGGATTCCTGTACTCTGATATGTGGATTTGTACTCACTGGATTTGTGCGCGCCTTGAGGGACTTGAAGTAGAGGGCGGTAGAAATTGCGTAAGCTACTCTATTCCTTTGATATGTATTTTATTGGCTCAATAAACGTACTTGAACTTGAACTTGACGCGGTGAAGAAAGAAGCCGTCTTACATGATCTGACTACTTTTGGCATTAAAGAGATTAGTGTTTGTCCTCCCAGAATAAAGGCTTAAGTGTGGTATTAAAGGTGTATGTCAGGTGTAATATCTTTGGTAGGTTAATCTTCATCAATCATTCTGTAATATCTTGTAAATTCGAAACGCCTCAAGGAGTAGTATTAAATCCCACCGTATTTAATATATTATATTTATTATATTTATTTAGTATTATATATATTAGTGAATATGATAGCATCTAAGAGATATTCCTAAACATTCACAATTTTAAATGTTTTAAAATATTTAAACATTCAAAAATTTTTGGAAAAATTCAGAGATCTCTGTCACCTTATGGTACTGGTAGTTAATGTGTCGCTTTATGGTACTGGTAGTTGATGTGTCGCCTTGTGGTACTGGTAGTTAATGTGTCGCCTAATGGTACCGATAGTTAATGTGTCACCTTATGGTACTGGTAGTTAACGTGACATCTTATGGTACAAGTCATAGCTTTAGTAAGGGCAACTCATGTTTGACAAATTTACTTTCATTCTATTCCAACATATTTGAAACAGTTGATAGGGGGAAACGACAATGACGTTGTGTACAAGCTTTTGATACAATCCCACATTAGCTTAAGAGATAGGATTAAAAATAAACACACGAAATTTGCTATAACTTTATTTCTTCCTTTAACTGTACATATATTACAATTTAATCCAACTTCCATCGAATCAACATTAAGAAACTGAAATAGACATTTAGTATGTACCATCAAACTATCTGCTACATATCGAGACTAGTCAAATGAAAATTAAATATTCATTATCACTGGATTAACTATTTAGATTCATTTATATTCTCAAAGTCACAGGAAAAAACAATCAATCTTCTCCATCTTCGGAATTTAAATCTCAATGTATATGTCTAACCAATTACTTCTATTACCTGTCAATGAGCAAGACTTGTTTTTTATGTATATTGCAGAAGGTAGCTATTTACACTCATATGTCCGACCACATGAAAAAGGGTAGCTTAAACATAGCAAAATTGTGAGATATCGTAACACATTTCACTAAGACAAAATATAATAGTTAATTCTGATAAGTTCTAACATAAATATTAAAGGAAATTAAAATGGAAACTTCAAAACCGTCGACCAAACTTGTTAATATATCACCCGAGAGAGAGGAACAGTTCCACAAGAGTTCATACTTGCAGATGTTACAACAATACATGCAAAGGAAATAAATCGTTTCCTTCTAGCTAATGACCATTTATTTTAATAACGTGTTGCACTTATGGTAACGATTACTAGTAACTATATAATATACCATTTAATGAGTGACCTTTAAATTGAAGATTCGCAGTATTACTTTCAAAGGAATTGGTCTTGTTTAAACAAAATTCTTCCTATTTTTATGATATTTGTAACGTGTACAAGGAAGCCAATGCAGTTTATCTTGATTATCAGTAAGGCTTTGATGAAGCTCCTCATCACCAAGTCGGCAATAGGATAGATGACCATGCGATATAATTTTCTGAATTTATTTTAAGTTGACCAGACCACACACTAGAAATGGAAGGGACGACGACGTTTCGGTCCGTCCTGGATCATTCTCAAGTCGATTGTGACAATCGACTTGAGAATGGTCCAGGACGGACCGAAACGTCGTCGTCCCTTCCATTTCTAGTGTGTGGTCTGGTCAACATACTTCAGCCACGTTATTGTGACTCATCGCCTGCTTATTTTAAGTTATTTCTAATTATATTTTCTTGCCAGATATGTGCAGTAAATTGCATGCACATTTTAATTATACTAATTTTTGTTATTCTCCTCACATCAGCATTGATCAACAAAATTTACACAGCGCATAACTAGATTAGTAACAACAAATAACGTTATTAAAATAAATATAATGTTTAACATATTGAAATATCTTCGTTACTTACTTAACGTTAGTGTTGCACTAGGCCTACAACTTACTCTTAGGCTATGACACTTTAATAAAATACGTTAATTCTACACTAGGCCTACCACGTTCTCCTAGACTATGCCAATTTGATAAAAAAAGTTAGAGCCGCTCTAGGCCTACCACCTGCTCTTAAACTACAGCAATTAAATAACATACCATCATAAACCCTGAAGAACTCAAAAATTGTGTCTTAATGAATGTGTTGATTCGTGATTAAGATCCGAGACTGGTTTCCTATCAAAACATTTGAAGGATTGCTCAAGTCTGTACACATACATATTTAAATACAACCATGTTTCGGCTAACAATAGAATAAAAACAAATTACTCTAAACTCCTCATATACAATTGGAATTTTATTCTGAAATATGGACAACAATATAAATGAAAAGTTCGGCAAGGGAACTATGTACATTGAAAGAGTGAGAGAAAAGAAGTGTATGGTGAGTGGGAAGTGTAATGTTTCTCATATTTTCCTCAGGTGCTTTACATGTGTTTCACAGGTGCTTTACATGTGTTTCACAGGTGCTTTACATGTGTTTCACAGGTGCTTTACATGTGTTTCACAGGTGCTTTACATGTGTTTCACAGGTGCTTTACATGTGTTTCACAGGTGCTTTACATGTGTTTCACAGGCGCTTTACATGTGTTTCACAGGTGCTTTACATGAGTTTCACAGGGTGCTATACATGAGTTTCACAGGTGCATTACATGTGTTTCAAGGGTGCTTTACATGTGTTTCACAGGTGTTGGCTCAGTTCTGGTGATGGTGGTCGGCTTCGGTGGGGAGCGCATGTGAAGCCTCGTAGAAATCTGGCTCATCAGTATCGTCAGTGTTGACGGCTTCTACACCATCAAGCTTTTGAAAATCAAAAAAATTAAGTTAGAACTAGAACTAAGTAAAAAAAACACACAAAATGAATGCGTAAATGAATAAAACAATATAAATAAAAATTGCACTTTGAAAGTGACGTAAAACAGAAAACAAGAATTAAGAAGCTTTCATGCTACAAGTGCACAAAGAAGAGATACAACTAAACTCCCTCTAATATCTAATCATTCTTTTACGTTTTATAAAAAGCGCCAGACAAAAATCCGCTATTTACCTAACAAAATTTAGGTTATGCTAATTTTGTTCTTTGATAAGAGAGGCTACTCAGCAAGTTTTGAGTATTATACTAAAGGCAGCATGTACAATACGCTTTGGCAGACGATGAATCTATAACGAGGCTGAAAATATGACAACTCAAACCACACATTAGAAAATGGAAAAACGACGACGTTTCGGTCCATCCTGGATTATTATCAAGTCATACTTCAGGACGGACCGAAACGTCGTCGTTTCTTCATTTTCTGGTGTGTGGTTTGGTCACCATACAGTACGCTTGCTAGAGCTCTAATATTAATATATAATATATTTAAAGGTGTTTTATTAGCTTAGAATCGGAAGTCTTTTGATATTGAAAATAATAGATTCTTGAAAAAGTTTTGGTATGGTACTAGGACAGCCATTTGGCCAAAAATGATAACTCATGTGTTTGTTGTTTAACCATTTAGTATAAATCCATGGATACAAACATTATTTCATAAACTCACAGCACTGAGCTCTGCTTTGGTGAATATTAAGGGTAGAAGGAAAAGCCTGAGAGGGACGAGGAGGATGAGAACGAAGGGCAGAACCAGGGCGGCTGGCGACTGCTTCACGCCAAACAACATCCCCAGCGCCATCAACTGGACCACCGTGAAGAAATGCATCTTCATTGTGCGAACCTGCAAAGTGAACACGCGAGGCTATTTAACACGAGTCTTTTATTAATGTCACCTGCATTATTTTGCACTAGCTATTTGTTCATGTCAAATACATTAGTTAACTCTAGCACCTCATTCGTGTCATACACATTATTGTACACTAGCTCTCATTCACGTAAAATTCACTGGTTTACACATCCCTACATTCAGGTCATCAGCGTTATTCAACACTTAAAATATACGATGCTCCCAACAGCTTTTTGAGGGTTGATAGCCAATTGATCAAATCAGATAATGAACATTATGTCTCAATCGACACCATACCTTCTTAACGTAAGGTGCATCGGGGTGGTACTTGACCGGCATAAACAGGAGAACTATCCGCTCGAGGAACTGGATGCCAGCAGTGGAGGCAGTACCCATGTAGAGGAAGATGCCAAGCAACACTGGCTTTGGCACCAGGTTTAGAGCGCTTGAGAGTAGAGTGCCAAGGCCGATGAATATTGACAGCACAAGACTGCTCAGTCGCTGCTCTGCAATTTAGAAGTTTTGACAAACTGTTGATCAATATTTATTCCTATGTAAATTGCTTCCATGCGTATTATATTATACACCTTTAGTGACTGATTATCAATAGATGGTGTGTATATTAATCTTTTAAATCTATCATTATTCCGCTGTACTGAAGATAAGCATTTCTCCCTGATAATGCACAAATAGGCTATTTTCTTTTGTGTGGTTAGATTTAAGGAAAATTATTTAAATTTTGTTGGTATTTATGTGATAAATATTTTTGGAAAAGTGCTTTGACTGGATATGTACATATGGTAAGCTCACTGTAAATTTTGTATTTTGCAGAACTATGTAAATACTTGAATTTAAAAATGCTCTTTTTTGTTTGGTTTTGAATATTAAATAATTTTCAGGTGTTCAGGCATATTTATATTTTACAAATATTTGAAAATTTAAACCGTGATGGTGTAATCTTAGCATGTAGGCCTAAATTGCATAAATGGTTCAAAGATGGCCAGGCATTTATTTCTTTGGATGATCAATCGTACCTCTGACGGAAATGTCAGAACTGTGGAGAAATGCCCGACAGACCACTGGAACATTATCTAATACAGTGCACAGTTACAAACCCATTAAGATTTCAACTTAGATTCAACAGAGCAGAAGAAGTTGTTAAACACATATGGCAAAATCTTACTGAAGCGACCATACGAGTCATAAATACTCATACTCCGCCCAAGTAAAACAGAAACAAGCAACACTTAGTGGGCCAGCCAGAGGCTTAGGGCCCGCGCAGGAATATCCCTGAAAAAAAGTACCTCTGACATATTCAATCTTAGGCGGTTCTCCGGGGTTGAGGGCCCGGGTGGTGACGGTGAGGGCGGCGGTGTGAGCCACAGTCCTGATACACGCCGGGCCCATGAAGGGAGCCCCCAGGAGGCCAGATACGAAGTTGATCACACACGACAGCATCACGTCTAAATGGAAGCCTGTTCCTTTGACCAATTTCCGTTCTGGCTTACTTAACAGCAATCTGATAAATTAGAGAAGGATAGCTACTAACATTAGAGAACAAACATCGCATGCTTAAATTATGAACTTTAACGTAGAATAAATCACAAGTGTATTAAGGTGTACCATTGTCACATACCAAATTTGAAAAGTTAATTTTGAAAGATATGAGAAATATGTATAAACAATATTCCTCGCCCACTCACTACAGTTAATGGTAATATCCGCAACCTACTGGCAGATGCTTCCTTCGAGGAAGACAAGGAAGAAGACGAGGATGGCGGCGGGCCCCGCAGCAAACATGCACCACACTGGTAGCGGCTTCACCTGCCCAAGCGGGTTAATTATCCAGCCGCGGATGTCAGGGTTGGAGGGCTGAAGGCCTTCAGGCATTGTCAGCTTGTCGGTGATTTGATCCCTGATGAGGTAGTCCATTAGCACCATGAGGAAAATGCCGATAGGAACACCAAAGTCTCCCAGAGATCTGCGGACCTGTGTAAAAGTGAATACTGCATGAAAACACAAGAGCGGCATGATCGTCCATGTGCTGTACAGGTTTCCTAATGATATTTACAACGAATAACATGACAACAATTATAATTATTTAGACCTGAGAAAATCTTTGGGATTGCACAAGCGCCCTAGATAACCCGAAGAGCCCCAGGAGGTGGACGTCCTATTCCCGTACCTATGGGATCTAGACAAGGATCATCACAGTCCCCTTTTACCCGAGGCCGGGTTGCTTCATGGCACAGTAGAAGGAAGAGTAATAATAATTATTAATTACAACAATTATTATTATAAGTATAATATAATTAATCAATAATAATTATTACTCTTCCTTCTGCTGGGCCATTACAGGACTGTGATTTAACAATTTTAGCTTTGGTAAAACTGAAATATTAGTAAACAAGGGACGACGTCATAGGTATTTCTTAAAACATCGAGTTCCTAATAAAGTGTATCTGCTTATACTACATTAGGAGTTAGGTAACATATCAGATGTAAAGTGAAACTCACGCTTCTTCCTAAGAATTTAGAGTTTCGAAAGTTCTTGAGCTTTATAGCGATGATGTAAGTTCCCAACATGAGAATGAGAGCGAGAAGGGCGGTGTTGGGCTGAGGAGAACCTTTCTTCACCATCAGGACGTCTCCGGCAGTAGTGTTGGCGGCCATTTTAGTCTTGTTCATTAAGACGTCTTCCTCCCTGAAACAGGTATCAATGACAAAGAAAATGAACATCTCTAATAAGGATTTATATAATAAATTGTTTTTTCTTTTATGTTTCATATTTATCTAAGTCTATTATAATAAACCGGTGAAACTATTATGCGATTTAAAAGTAGCGATTTAAAAAAAAGAGAAAACTAAAATCTAAGACAAAATAAACATATGTACAAATAAAAACTAGTAAAACACCGCTTTACTTAAAAACACTTGGCCACCGATCCTATTATTGGCTAAGATCAATGTTGGGCTGAACTCCGAACTCCGCTCGGTAAATAGATATCAACGTTTGCATTTATATACGGGACATAGGCTGAGTCGCCAGGGCTAAGATATCAAACTGTTAAAACAAAATGAACACAACGTAAAATAATAGTCTGACCTTTATAGTATAGATAGGCTAGTCAGTGTGACCAACTGAGCTAGTCAGTGTGACCAACTGAGCTAGTCAGGGTGACCAACTGAGGTAGTCAGGGTGACCAACTGAGCTAGTCAGGGTGACCAACTGAGCTAGTCAGGGTGACCAACTGAGCTAGTCAGGGTGACTCAACAAATACACGTCCTATGTAAGCTTATTGTCTCACTAGGCTATGGTGCTAATTATGGCCAATTCTTGGTTATCCTGATCAGTGATATACGATTCTTGTTTGGGTGGAGAGGTATGTTAGCAGTTAGCCAGAAATCCTCATATTAGTGGCGTCAGTCCTGAACACCACCATGTACATTTTTAAATCAGTAAAAGTAGAATTGAATATAGATTAATGTATCGTGCATATAAAAGATAATTTTGTCCAATTGTCATCTCTAGCAAAGGTCTGCTACTGAAGTCTCAACGTGTTACAGGCACCAGCGAATGCTGAATGTTGATACCATATTTGGATCAGTCATTTCAAGTGTTGCAATTCTTTCTCTCGTGGATGGTATACTGCATTCCTGGAATAATCATTGTACATAAAACATTGCTTTAAATTTCCCTAAGTCACTCCGAGTCACCTATATACCCCCCTAGCAATTGAGTTTGGTGATGTCATTACAGACTCGAATGCACTTTGTCCAGGTCGAGGGCCACTTGCCTCACCGCCATCTTGAGCATAGGAAGCGTTCACAATATTATTAGTGTCATCGTTCCCTTATCCGCCCAGTGATCCAGACGGTGGTGTGGAGACCGCGAGTACGTATAGAAGAGGTCTATGAGGTTTGATCAACTGTGTCATACAGAGAAGATGAAGATCGGAGGGCAAGCCACGCCAACCTGTCAACTAGTCCGTCAGTGTGATGAGGTAGGCAAGATTATGTATTAGTTGGTCCACAGTTATCGTAGAATTCTAAACCAATGGGGACGGGGTTACAGTTGCACTGCAGAATTAACAGCAAAGACATGTGGGTTTGCGAAAGCGGTTTGGCCAGGTTAAAAGAACCAGCGAGAAATTTGGCAGTGATACCACTGCCTTATCTAAGGTTTGGAATATATAAATCAATATCCAGAACCTGTAGCGTAGATTATTACAGCAATTCTCATGCGGGATTACAACTTGCTTATTTTACAGAATGCAGAGAGTTAGCATAAATGATTTAAATCAGACAGAAACTTTTATAAGTATGCAGGCGATGAGTCACAATAACGTGGCTGAAGTTTGTTGACCAGACCACACACTAGAAGTTGAAGGGACGACGACGTTTCGGTCCGTCCTGGACCAATTTTTATAAGTAATTTCCCCAAGGCTCTTGATAGCTTTGTTCACCATATATATGGTGGAGAATTTTTTGTATATATTTTTTCCAGCTTGAAGACATAGGATTGAAAAGCAATTTTTGCAAATTTGCATACGATACGAAATAAGGCGGGGAAATCAATTCAGAAGACAAAATTGCTAGATGATCTAGATGTAGAGTAGTGTATAATCTGTAGAATTGTAGTTTACAGAAAGATCAATATTCCAACAATTTAAATCTGTGGACCCAATTTCCCCCATGGTTGAGAACCTCTGGTCTAGTGACTAGACTAGACTAACTAGCATTCGACTAGGCTATGCTTAGTTAAACGTCTAATTATAAGTCACGTAGGCTATATCCTACATTTATATAGTAAAAGAAAATTACATTTACATTAACATTTACGTATTTACTAGCTTCATATACAGCGTGTAAATTGGAAACCAATGAGGGGGCTTTAGCTTAACACTTTACTTTTATGCTGAGTAATTCATATCACTGGGATTCGCGTCTATGCTCAGTATGAGGCTGTTACATTGAAAATAAACCAGGAACATCATAGTCTCAGTACAACCAACAGGCATTAATATAAACTCTAATCTCTTGAGCGTCTCGCGTTGCATTGTCTCAGGTGAGGGCTAGACACAGGGCAGACACACTTGAAACAATTTGGTTGGGTGTAAATACAAGCTGCCTTCCATGTGTCAACAGTGCTATTGACATGTGCCACTTAGAACTTTTTGTTCAGAGTAGCTGAATCTAAAACAACAACACCATGTGTCAATGGGTCTCTGGCAGTCTCCTGTATTCTTTTTCGTACCATAGTTCATTATCGCCCTGTATTGATTTCCATTCAATAACTTTTGTAGTTGTATACTTGAATACCAGCATTTTTGGTAAACTCATTTATACAGAAGGTCAAACTACAAGACAGTTATTTCACCTTATTTTATTTCACTTATTTTTATAAATGCGACTCACGTGACCCCAGTTACGTCTTGTCATTTCACTCTTACTAAGAAACTTTAGAGTCAAACTCCGTTGGGTGGTCTACGTCATTCTCATTTTTCATGTCGTGGAAGTGCAATTATAACCAAATTTATATCAATTAGTTTTTGTTTTAAATATAAGAAACAATAAAAACTTACACTATTGGAAAAGCGTCATCTTCACATGTGTACTCCATCATGACTGGATGATCAATGAAGATGCTCACCATCTTCGTAACAGCCTCGTAGATGAAGATCGCGCATATCATTGTGGCGAAGATCTCTTCCGTGAACCTGGTGAGCTTCCTCATGATGACAGAAGCTTCAAATGCAGCAACTAGCACGCCAATGACCAGCATCCACATGCCAATCCACACTCTCATGGACAGGAAATCAAGCTCATATGTCTGAGTGAACTGACGAGAAAGACAAAATAGTTGACTTGCTACTGATTATGAGCGAAATATTGTTCACAGACGTGTCCTATCGGTCACACCCCATCGCTCGAATTGCCCAGCTGAAGAAAAGTTAATCACAACTGACACAAAAGCAAACCCAGACCGATACTCACTTGATACAGACTTATGTCGAAGACCATAAGCGGACCCGTCGCGCCGACAATAAGCAGGGGCTGGGCGGCAAACAGGGCAAAGATGACACCATTCACACAAGACATGAGAAGACATTCCCCGACTCCGATGTAGTTATCCATCACATCACCTGAGTTATAATATGTGAATGTTCTCAAAATAAAAATTAGATTAATATGCACTTTAAGTTACTGAATAAGAAGTAAGGGTAAATATGTAAAGTTACTGATAATTAGCCACATACATATATACATTCATTATCATTACCAATTTTCACACTTTAGAAATTGCCAGCAAGCTCGGCAATTGATATAATATGAATGTGTGTGGGAGGAGTTGTGTATATATATATATATATATATATATATATATATATATATATATATATATATATATATATATATATATATATATATATATATATATTTTTACGTTGCAATATGCAACGTAAACAATTTGGTAAACGAATTAAATACTGAATCCATGAAAGTGGGAAACGTCGAAATTATGATGAATGATGATGATAAACCCGTTCCAAAATAAATTATAAAGAAATTAGGAAGAGTTTTAGCCTTTGAAAATATGATTTGGACAAATTTTAACAAAGTCAAACTTCAGGAACTAAGTGATTACTTACTGTACATGCCACCAAATGTAATAGCCGGCGAGAGGCAGGCAAAGAAGATAAAGATGGTTGCAGCGGCCACTTGTAAATTCAAACCATCCAAAATATCCGAGGGATACATGGCGTAGCGGCTCTTAATGTCCATAATAAGACCGTAGAAAGGCTTTCCTACGCGAATGAGAGGATCTCGTGGCGGAGGTTTCTGATCGCCGCCATCGCCTCCCCCAGCTGACGCCGCTACTGCAATAGTGTGCCAACGGTCAGAGACAAACACTTAGGTAATTCTCTCCCACACACAGGTTGTATACTCCGAGAGTTTTACTTTCCAGTATATATGTATATACCATATATTACTTTCCAATATATATATATATATATATATATATATATATGTATATATATATATATATATATATATATATATATATATATATATATATATATATATATATATATATATATATATATATATATATATATATACATTTTTTCTATAACCCTTACAGCTCTGTTTGGGATAAAGTATAATTGCAGGATAAAAAGAACAAAATGTTTCACCTCTGTTAGGGTAAAAAAATAACAAGTATATAAAGTTAAAATTCATTTATGATGTTTATTATTAATTAAACTGGCGAGTGGGTGAATCTGTAGGACTAATTTTAAGTACAGTATTACGCTGATGTCAGTATAACAATTTGTAGCAAGTAAATGTCTCATTACTGAGTTGTAAGAAATTGCCAATAAAACAGTGTCTTGGGGGATTTAGTTATTCAACAACTTTCATATCTTAGGTTACAGAAAGTAACAAATTATTATATTTTAAATAAAACCATTCTGCACCTAACTAATAGTTAGGAGCATTGAAACACTATTAAAAGAAAAATATTTCATATATAATAAACATGTGAGAAAATGTTGTAAGCACTATATTACACTACAGTATGTTTGGCTTCGTTCTCCTCTCCCAATCGGCTATCCCGAGTTCGATTCCCGGCTCGATACAGAAATGGATGGGCAAATTTCCTTTCACCTAATGCTCACCTCTGTTCACATAACGGTAAATATGGACTAACCCTGGAGTTAGTCGACTATTGTTGGGTTACAATACTTGATGATTATTGTTGATGAGTCGTCAATAATGAGGTGTTTTTAATTTATGCAGACGATGAGTCACATTAACTTGGCTGAAGATATGATGACCAAACCACACATCAGAAAATGGGGAAACGACGAAGATGGAATCTGGACAAGATCAAGTCGTGTCCAAGACGACTTGATAAAGCGAAACGTCGTCGTCTTACTATTTTCTGATGTGTAGTTTGCCGAGAAGTTGAGGTACAAACACAACGTACAAATTACAAATGTGTAATCAAACTAGAAACGCTGGAACGAAAGCAGCACACCTATGGATCCATAGGCGCCTCACATATGAGCCCATAGAAAACTTGGATTTTAATGAGCCGCTCTTTTTCATACTACTGTACTCTGTAATTTGTACGTTGGGGACCATAACGCACGAAATGAATTGAATTGAACTATCGGGGAGAAAGCACCAAGCCATTACGACTATATAGCACTGGGAAGGGGTTAGGATAAGGATTTGGGATCGGACGGGGGGGGGGGGTAGCGGAAGGAATGGTGGCTCAACCACCTGGACGGCCGGGGATTGGACGCCGGCGCACGAAATGAGAGATGCATTAGTTGAGAGGATGGGATGAACTAAAACAGAAATCTTGCCGGAGTTGGATGTGTGACCACCTTTCTAAAACATTTCTTTTCCACCGTATTCAGTCCTCACGGCTGTTAAATATAAACTAAGTTATAATTAATATTTATACGAAGCAATAGTTTGCTTACATTGAGCATTTTTCATCAAGATGCTTTCTCTCCTTGCCTTGTCATGAGTGACAACCGTATCACCCAGGAGTGTTGTCCAAGTAGCATGAGACAACAACTCCTCAGCTGCAGAAAGTAGTTGATCTCGGTACTGTGTTGTGTAAGCCACCTCGCGGAACGCTTGATTGGCCATCAGGGCGGAGATAGAACGACCAATCTCATAGTAGTCCTTCTCCTCGTGGAACGGACCAAGGAGGACAAATATGAACCTCACAGGCATGGAAACCTAGAGGAAAGAGAGGAAATGTAATTACGCCTGGCACCATGACACGCAGTTTACTATACTGTAAGTCAGTCGTAGAGCACTTGTTCAGTCGGGGGAATAGTTCGTTCAGGTATAGTTAACAAACCTCGGTAAGGTCTCCCAGTAAAACTCCTTCAGACAGCCTGACGAAGGTGAGGATCGGGGACTTTAGGAAGCTCACGCCACCGGCCATCACCGCTGTCAACTCCTGCCCATCTAGAGTAGCCTTTATAACAGAGTCTTTATTTGCTAAGAACAAGTTGTCATCAATATCAACCTGAAAAATACATTTTAATATTTAGTATACAATATTTGTATTTCAAATAATAGTGATTAAATGCAAAAAAAGTGAGAGAGAAAACGTCAGTATCATTTAATTATAGACAGGTAGTTTAAAGATCAGCTTTCAAACTAGCAAAATAGTGCAAGCATATACTCTGTACTGTATTCTGAATTCTCCATTTGCTAAGTATTCTGCTACTAGCCAACAGGGTCAAACATGGTCTCTAACAATCTTATCACACTAAAGATGTTATCGCATAAAACTGAGTGAAGTGTTATGTTGTCATAAATGTATATTACTTAGTAGTAGATATAAAGTAAAAATAATATATCCCCCGTAGAAGTGTAGGAACAAGCTTTATATACCTGGGTGAACGAGTGATCGAGCGTGTAATTTTTCGTGTCCTTGGGAACGGTGCCGTTGGAAACAACGGTTGGATCATCAGTACTGTTTGGATTGAAAGGGTTGCTCAGAGGGAAAGGATTGCTGACTGACACAATGCGCGCAGACGAACGTCGTCGACTGGAGTTGGGCCTTTCCTCGGAACTTAAAAGGTAAACAAATAAAACCATCTGTTGAATCATCAGTGAAGTTATAAATAAAATAGATAATTTGGCTAAAACGAGTTTAAGTGACGGTAACATGGAGAGGGAAGCCTACTTGTCAGTTGCCAAAGATGAAATGCGTTTTCTCAGAAGGATTCTGATAACTTGGTCCCGCTGGTCGGCGGGGATCTGGTCGCTGGCGATCATGTGGTCCACCACCCGGGTGACAATACTAGTCAGGTCTCGTTCTGCCACGTCCAGCACAACTCCACCTACAATAATACATTCCTGTTAATGATACTTGTAATGTGTTTTAATGTTTTGTCACAGTATAACAAACTAGTCATTGATAGTATCAAAGAATATTTTCTGTAGTTTGCTATTACAAAATAGGTAAAAGAAAAAACGCTAAAGTTGGTGATCATTATGCACATTAATTTTCGTATTTCTCATGAACTAACTTATTTATATGTGCATAGCATGGCTAAAATAAATAAGACCTATGTGAAGTCCTGGTAAGTGGTGGAGAGTTAAAAAGAAAAGGCTGTGTGAGTTTTTTTATTAGTATTAACTTATAGTGGACTTTAATGAATGTGTTGCAACTTTGGAAAACAAATTGGATGTTTCGAGTTTTCTATCTGGAAGATCCTGTGTAACGACTGTACTCAGTTTCTATGATCGAGCCACAGAGATTTTACAGGAAAGAGATGGTTGGGTGACTGCATCAATCTGGACCTAAACAAAGGCTTTCGAGAGAGTTCCACATAAGAGGTTGTTCTGGAAAGTGAAACATATTGGAGGAATGACAAGTAGGCTTCTAACATGGACGAAACATTTTCTGACAGGAAAATGAGGGCAGTAACCAGAGGCAATGTCTCGAACTGGAGAAATGTCACGAGTGGAGTACCACAGGGTTCAGTTCTTGCACCGGTATTGTTCATTGTCTACATAAACGATCTACCAAATGGAATACAGAATTATATGAACATGTTTGCTGATGATGCTAAGATAATAGGGAAGATAAGACACTTAGATGATTGTCATGCCCTTCAAGAAGACCTGGACAAAATAAGTGTATGGAGCACCACTTGGCAAATGGAATTTAATGTGAATAAATGTCATGTTATGGTATGTGGAATAGGAGAACATTGACCCCACACAACCTATAAATTATGTGAGAATTCTTTTAAGAATTTTGATATAGAAAGATATCTAAGAGTGGTTCTAGATAGAAAATTATCACCCGAGGACCACATAAAGAACATCTTGGGAGGAGCCTATGCTACACTCTCTGATTTCAGAATTGCTTTTAAATACATGGATGGCGAAATACTAAAGAAATTGTTCACGACATTTGTTAGACCAAAGCTGGAATATGCAACGTTGTATGGTGTCCATATCTTAAGAAGCACATCAACAAACTGGAAAAGGTGCAAAGACATGCAACTAAATGGCTCCCAGAACTGAAGGACAAGAGCTACGAGGAGAGGTTAGAGGCATTAAATATGCCAAAACTAGAAGATAGAAAAAAAGAGGCGATATGATCACTAAGTGTACAGCATAGTAACGGGAATCAATAAAATTGATAGGGAAGAATTCTTGAGACCTGGAACTTCAAGAACACGAGATCATAGATTTAAACTAACTAAAGAAAGCTGCCGAAGAATTAAAAAAAAAATAACTTTTGCAGAGAGGTGGATGGTTGGAACAAGTTAGGTGAGAAAGTGGTGGAGGCCAAAACAGTCAGTAATTTCAGTGTTATACGATAAAGAGTACTGGGAAGACGGGACACTACGAGCATAGCTCTCATCCTGTAACTAAACTTAGGTAATTACTGTGTCTGAAAACATATTGCTAAATTAGGTTTGAACACTGAAGCAAAGTACTGTAGTTATTTAGCATATTGCTAATTTCTGGCCCTGGTCTGTGCACAGGGTAGTATACTGTACATACTGTCAGTCAGCCCGGCCTCTAGAGTTGTCACAACGGACAGAAAATTAAGTACTAAGTTACCCGAACCTAACCCAGCCTTACATAACCTAATCCTAACAGAAGGACCCACGCATAGAAAACGTGTTTTTTCTGTGAGCCGCTATGATTTATCGTACGACATACTTTGCCCGTTAGGGATTTTGACGTCAAAATGCGATGTATTATTCGAGAGGACAAGTTAGGTCAGTCAGTAAGCTATATACGCAGCTGATAGGCATAAACTCCCAACACCAAACCAATTGCCTACTTTAATTTTCATCTACTCCAGTTCTGAGTGAAATGTGTAATGCATTCATGGTCTCGTGTTTGATGCACTGAAGAAGTTGGTAGGAGTTTTTTTTTTTTTTTTTGCAGGGATATTCCTACGCGGGCCCTAAGCCTCTGGCTGGCTCACTAATTGTTGCTTGGTTCTGTTTTACTTGAGCGGAGTATGAGTATTTATGACTCGTTAGGTCGCTTCAGTAAGATTTTGCCATATGTGAGAGCGTGCAGAGATCCTTTACTGCTAGAATCCACTCAGTAAAACATCTAAACTATTGGGACCAACTAAAGAGCCTAAATCTGTACTCCCTTGAGCGCAGGCGGGAGAGATACATAATAATTTACACGTGGAAAATATTAGAGGGGCTGGTCCCAAACCTGCACACAGAAATAACATCACATGAGACCAGAAGACATGGCAGGATGTGCAGAATACCCCCGTTGAAAAGCAGAGGTGCAAAAGGTACAGAGAGAGAACTCTATCAACATCAGAGGCCCGAAACTGTTCAACACGCTTCCGCTACACATAAGGGGCATAACTGGCAATCCCCTCACAGTTTTCAAGAAAGAACTGGATAAGTACCTCCAAAGGATACCTGATCAACCAGGCTGTGACTCATACGTCAGGCTGCGAGCAGCCGCGTCCAACAGCCTGGTTGATCAGTCCAGCAACCAGGAGGCCTGGTCGACGACCGGGCCGTGGGGACGCTAAGCCCCGGAAGCACCTCAAGGTAACCTCGAGGTATGTGTTTAACAACTTCTGCTCTGTTGAATCTAAGTTGAAATCTTAATGGGTTTGTAACTGTGCACGTGTTAGATAATGTTCCAGTGGTCTGTCTGGCATTTCTTCAAGTGCTGACATTTCCTCTCATCTTCCGGAACCTGTAAGCCTATTTCCCATGCACATGGGTATCCAAGCCTGATGCGATGTAAATGTACTTCTGTTACTCCACTGCTCCGTATACACTCTGTATTCAATATACTAATTTTCTGAAACTTAAATTATTATTATTATGTATTATATATACTTAGGCGTTGTCAGCTTTTCAGGTTTTGTTGGCGGGTATTTATATTTGACTACCTATCCTCAGGCGTATTCAACATTTGTATTTTATCAAATATAAGGTAATATTATGACATAATATAATATGTCATAACATAAAATATTGTCGCCCAATGCAGGCGATGAGTCACAATAACGTGGCTGAAGTATGTTGACCAGACCACACACTAGAAAACTCGCCTTTCGACAAACTAACACACTTCGTAGCAATCTAGTTCACACTGCTCCTCCTGCTTCTAATGCTGCTGGTGTCTACTCTATTTCCTGTTCATCTTGTCCTCTCCAATACTTTGGCGAAACTGGCCGTACACTGAATGACAGACTTAAAGAACACAAGAGAAGTGTTATGTCTGCAGACACTAACAATGCTCTCTTCTGCCATGTGAGGGGTTCTAATCATCCCATTGATTGGTCTTCCTCCAAAATAATCTTTCCTGCCTCTACTCTACACAGACGCCGTCTTGTAGAATCGGCTCTTATTAACAATGTACCCAACATGAACTTGAGTCCTGGCTTTGTTGCTGTGGACTCTTCCCTTTCACAGTATATACTCAAATGCTCTAATCTTTCTAACAAACGTGACTTAACATAAGCTTTCCCCCTTCCATTTCTTTCTTTCTCTTTCCCTTTCTTTCTCTCTTCTCCCTTTTTCTGTTCATTGTCTTCTCCTACGCTCCCTTGCTATCCTCTTCTTATTCCTATTACTATCTCCTTCGGTGGTTATAATAGGAGCTGCCTCGTATGGGCCAATAGGCCTGCTGCAGTTCTCATTACTACTATCCCCTACACCTGACTTTCCTCCTCAGCTCTCTCTTGCCTATTTAATGCTTGTCCCTACCTCCCCATCACAATCGACTTGAGAATGGTCCAGGACGGACCGGAACGTCGTCGTCCCTTCAATTTCTAGTGTGTGGTCTGGTCAACATTGTCGCCCAAGCCTCGGGCCGGGCTTGGGGAGTAGAAGAACTCCCAGAACCCCAACCAGGTAACCAGGTATTGTCATAATATTATGGCATATTATAATATGTTCGTTGACGACAGTTGAATAGTTAAGCCTAAATTAGATAAGGTAGGTGGGGTAAGTTCATTTCGCCTAACCCCGTCTTTAGGCCAGGCTTGTTAAAGCTGCGGCCGCCCCCTTCCCCCACCCCAAGACCCATTCACCATTTTTAACATTGTTTATTACAAAATAGGTTTATTTTCGTATACAGTACATATTAATATTACAGTATTATATATTAAAGTTCTGTGTATATTTAGGCGTAGGTTAGCTATTTAGATTCTGTTTGCGATTATTTAATAATATAAATATTATTATTTTATTATATTATTATAATACTAATATTATTTTTACAAATAATAATATAATCATTATTTGTATTTGATGTACGTGAGTGAAGCAATTACAGCAACTCGTCCTCGACTCAAGTCCAAATTACACCCAGCGGTCGACCCCACAGACGCATTCGTACATTTTTACTTGTTGTTCATTCAAAACGGGAATGTTCTCAATTAAAAATTAATATTGTAATATATTACCATATTGTGCATATATAATCATAAGACAGGTTAGGGTTAGGTGTTTAGGTTCTGTTGGCGATTATTTGTATTACGTCGATGAATCATTTATAGCGTTGTGGTTCGACAACCCGTCCTCGACTCAAGTCCATTACATCCAGTGGTCAACCCCACAGACGTATTCATAAATTTTAACATGCTGGTCATTCAAAACAGGAATTTTCTCAAGTTTAAATTAATATTATAATATATTAGCATATTGTGTATATATAGGCATAGGTTAGGTTAGGTGTTTAGGTTCTGTTGGTGATTATTTGTATTTGTAGTACGTGGGTGAAGCATTTATAGCGTTGTGATTCGAACAAAACAACCCGTCCTCGACTCAAGTCCATTACATTCGGCGGTCAACCCCACTGAAGCATTCATAAATTTTAACATGCTGTTCATTCAAAACGAGAATTTTCTCAAGTATAAATTAATATTATAATATATTAACATATTGTGTATATATAGGATAGGTTAGGCTAGGTGTTTAGGTTCTGTTGCCGATTATTTGTATTTGTAGTACGTGGGTGAAGCATTTATAGCGTTGTGATTCAAACAAAATTCGTCAGTGAAGCACTTGTTCCGGATATGTTCGAACGTCAGCAGTTGTGAGTCGTGTGTAAACCGCTTTTCATTCATAAACAGGGGGTTTGGCGGGTGCACGGAATCACTTTTGGATCTTTGTTTGGAGGACGGGCTGAACAAAATTCGTCAGTGAAGCACTTGTTCCGGATATGTTCGAACGTCAGCAGTTGTGAGTCGTGTGTAAACCGCTTTTCATTCATAAACAGGGGGTTTGGCGGGTGCATGGAATCACTTTTGGATCTTTGTTTGGAGGACGGGCTGGGTTCGAACAAAATTCGTCAGAGAAGCAATTGTTCCGAAAGTGTTCGAACGAAATCAGTTGAGTCGGGTGTAAAACGTTTTTCATTCATAAACAGGGGGTTTGGTGGGTGCATGGAATCACTTTTGGATCTTTGTTTGGAGGACGGGCTGGATTTTCTCATGATCGCAACTGATGACGTTCGAACACTTCTCGAACAAGTGCTTCACTGACGACTTTTGTTCGAACCACAAGGCTGTAAATGGTTCACCCTTGTACTACATATGCAAATAATCGCCAACAGAACCCAAACACCTAACCTAACCAATGCCTAAATACGCACAGTATGCTAATAATAATAATAATTGTTAAAATTGATGAATACGTCATTTTGGTGTCGACCACTGGATGGAATGGACTTGGTCTGAGGACGGGTTGGCAGTTGCAAACTGGGTAGGGTCAGTTCGACATTGGGTGGGACGGGAGACCCAAGGTCGAACACACTTCCAGTCCCCCGACAAAACTAATTATTTAATTATTGGTGGTGGACAGTGAACAAAGAGTCTGAGGCTGAGGCTCGTGGAAGGACCACATGGTGTGAGCAGGACCTAAATAAGGTATGTTTTAACCTTTGACCATAGGCGCCATAGGCGCTTTGACCATAGGGAACAGTTGTGGGTTGCATCGTGGGGAAGGTCATCTGTGATTAGGTTAGGTTCTAGGGAAACCTCGTAAAGTCTAACAGAGTTCCTGAGCCCGATTATGGGAAACCAAGAGGTGACGTACTATAAAAAAATGGGGTATAATGTTCTTAAACTATTTAATAAAGATCGAAGTAGTAACAAAGAATGTGAATTAGACAAATTTTGATTAAATAATATACAATATATCATAATTCTACTAATTGTCCATTACGTTTATATATTACAATGGTCCACATAGTTACAAAAAGTACTCTCTAAACAAAAGAATGGGTTGAATATTTTGACGGTGGGGCTTTTGACGTCAAAATGTGGTGTATTATAGGAGTGGACGGGTTGTCATCAGAGGGGCACCCCACTGAGCACGTCCAGGCGTGACTACTGACCATATCCCACCTTCCCCAACCCAGCGGACGACGCACGCTGGTATCTTTATTGTGTTTCAAATCTAGAATGCTAAGTCACGAGAGACTGTGTACGTTGCTGTGTGATAGTAGTGTTAGAAATATTAGTAGCCTTGAAAGTAATACTGAATGCTAGTAGTGGTTGTGGTGTTAATTGTAATGCTAGTAGCAAGGGTAAGGGGAGTGTGAGCTAGAAGCTGGAAAGAGAGTCTTCTGCGTTTCAGTCTTGACTTCTTCAGTCCAAATTGGATCTGTAGCAGTGTCAAAATTAACAAGTCAGAAGTAAAACTTATAACTTGAGACAGTAAGGTATTTAGCTGTTGGTGTGTATACCCGAGTTCACATGCCAGCCGACAGTTTCATTTACTGGGCTACAGTACTGTATTTGTCTTCAGATAAATAGCTCTTTAACACAAACTTTGAAGAAAGTCTTTAATACACAAATAGAAATAAATTATGTGTTTCAAGACCAATTGAAATTATATCTATTTAAAAAGTCAAAATTATGTGTTTGAACATTCATTAACTGTTGATAACTATTGATAAAGCACACAAACAGAACAGCAGTAATACTGATCTGGTTGTCCTCTCACCACCACCTCTCGCAGTGTTTATCAGTGTATATTAATTAACTATTTTTTAGGCTTTAGGAATTAAAGTATACACGAAGTTCAGAAACAGTAGATTGTTGCGTTAATAACCCAGGCAGACGATAGGCCTTAAACCTTAACAACTAACCTAACAGCACTTTCACAGTGAAAGCAATCGGTTATTTGTACTGGACAGCGTAAATTAAAATTAAAAACTCAAGTGCTACGTTGGTTAACATAAAATCATCCCTTTTTCGAGAAATGTGTCTTGTGCAGCCAAAGTGGCGATAATTAGTAAGACTTGGGTTTCAGATTTGAACTATTAATATAACAAACATACAGTAGTTTAAAAAGCGGATTATCTATTCTGAAATCTAGACGTGGACTGAACTCCATCATTGTCACAGTCATTGTTGTAATTTTCTGTCAGTGCAATGTAATTGGGATAAATCACAATGTTGATTCTGCGCATTGACTCAGAAGTAGTCTGCCCTTCCAATTGTGCTGCGTCTGCTGGTACTGAACTGACTGTCAAACACCCGGACGCACACACTCCTGCCAGTCTTGTAACGTTACGGGTTGGTAACGCAGCCGTAAACATACTTAACTAAGGTGAAAGGGCACCTGCAATTATAAGGAAGAGAAGACTCGATTTTGTTTGGTTTTGTTTTGTCATTTAGCCCCGCTCCTGTGCGAGGCAAGTCCACTTCGGGCTCACCACAGTTTTAGTTTAGTTCATTTATTATGCACCCCATACCCATCTTGTGGGCGGTAGTGGAAAGGGTTACAGAGGCACATAATGGGCTCGGACTGAACCCCACTATTCATTTAGCTAAGCAAGTTACAATCTTGATGGGCTAGTTACAAAATTCAATATAAGTCGTCACATCAACAATGGGTTCGAGATCGACCTCAAGTACAGGTTCTAAATTAAGCAACTGACATATGTGGAGAGCTAGTGTCAAAATTTATATGTTTGTCCTGCACACCGCCCCCCATCCAGTGGGCAGCGGTGGATAGGTTACAATCACTTAGTTACTACCTACAGTTAGCAAACTGGGCCACAGCCCATGCTACTTGTAACTTTTTGCTCCGAGTAGCTGAATCTAAAACAACAACAACAACATCCTGACTTCCAGCAGTGTTCCACCAACTGAGAATCTTAGCGTACCTCCACGTCGACTTGTGAAAATTCACGCCTTAGTTGATATCTTTAGGCTTTTTAATCTTGAAATCAGTAAATTGTCAACACATTCTGTAGAGGGGTCTTCAGTCCTTAAAATGTAACCATCTTTTGAACTTCAAGACTAATTGTTAAGAAATTGCAAAAAAAAACAATCTATTGTGCTCACATAACAACATTCAGACGATGTTGATCAGTAAAACCCTAGTTAGTATAACATTGATTTATTTAGGAATTAATGTATGTAAAAATGCTATGCTGATTAGCAGTACGTCATTAATTTACAGATTTCTGATGTAAATACGTGTAAATTTAAAGGTATCCTATCTGTAAAGTCCATTCAATGCAAATGGAATTAGATTTTGGTCGAAGTACCTCGCATTCGTAATACGATTGAAGTTCATTGTAATCTGGCTTGCTGGACTTTAATCCAACATAAACCAGTTCTACATTGTTTTGTATTCTGTACGTCTGCTGATGATCTGATTGCTCAACACCCAGATGAACAGTTTCCTGTCAGCCTCGTAACTCAACCTTGTTAGGCTGAAATGGAGACATTGAGATTATAGGAGTAGTTCCATTGTTAGACTGTAATGGTGACATCGAGATTATAGGAGTAGTTCCAGTGTTAGGCTGTAATGGTGACATCGAGATTATAGCAGTAGTTCCAGTGTTAGACTGTAATGGAGCCTTCGAGATAATTGGAGTGGTTCCAGTGTTAGGCTGTAATGGTGACATCGAGATTATAGCAGTAGTTCCAGTGTTAGACTGTAATGGAGCCTTCGAGATAATTGGAGGGGTTCCAGTGTTAGACTGTAATGGTGACATCGAGATTATAGCAGTAGTTCTAGTGTTAGGCTGTAATGGAGCCTTCGAGATAATTGGAGTGGTTCCAGTATTAGGCTGTAATGAAGACGTCGAGATCATTGGAGTAGTTCCAGGCACTGACTATCTTTGAGCACAACCATTTAGGCAGGCACATTAACCTTCAGACTAACGCTGCTAACGCGCGTTATTTTCAGGTGTGAAATCGTTAGTTTTTTTTAACACAAGCTTTGTCGATGCCTTCAGTTCATGTAATTGAACACAAATTGTTATTTAAAAATAAAATTTTCGAGAAAGTCGCACGCTGCAACGCACTTTTTTCCTAATTAAAACAATCTAATATATGCTCCGAACATTGTCACTTTTGATGAGACACAATAACGGGTTAACACTCGTAATAACTCGTGACATCACATCTACTCTCCATTTCAGTAGGGAAACGAAATACATCCAACATTTTGCTTGGCTCAGTGTGATTAGTAACGAACTGCATTATTTGAAAATAAATTCATGACGTGCTATATTAATATACACTCAGAGTATCAGGAATTTTATCCTGCTCAGTCAAAAATGTGTTAATTACAGTTTGCAGTTTCCCACAAATGTACATGTAAAACTTTAAAAATTACGTTACCCAACGGAAAGTCTGGTGGTAGACTGAACATATCGTTATCATATCCACTGCTGTAATGTTCCTTGTCCGCAATGTGATTAATATCCATCGTAACGTGGATATTGGGCACCGACTAGACAGTATCCTGACTCTCCACTTGTGCTGCGTCTGCTGGTACTGCACACACTGTCAAACACCCGAACTGGCAAGTTTCTTGCAGTCTTGCAACTCGGCCAAACACACTGAATAAGGCAGCTCGGGCCCCCTAATTATGACGGAGACGTCATGATTTCCAAAGAAGCTCCTCCCACTAAGCACCTTCCTGATCGTCAACATGTCTAAAACAAAAATATTAAGTTTTTCAAAATTATTGACTAGAATGTATTGTTATATAGGTAGCTACAGCGCCTTGTAACCCCCCCCCCCTATAGTAATCTAATATGAGACGTTGGAATAGAACTTTCTACATGTGATGCTCTGAACTAGTATGAACAGAATACGACTGTTCGGGCCATGTATTTTTTATGAACAATTAATGAAGAGAGTCTGAAGGCGATGTCGCAAACGTAGTGCGTGCTGAAACTGCATCATCGGGGGCAGCCTGGATTATGTCTGGTTCCAACGAGATGGCCACCACCAGTCCATCACTGTAATGACAAGCAAAAGTAATCTTGAAGGTGTTGTGCGGGCTGAAACGGACTGAAAGCCAGGCCACATGTGGGACTTTTATGTGTAATTCCCAGTCAGGGATGTAATACATATAATAAATAGTACAGTTGAGTTCTTTCTCGATTCACAATCAGGAATCCCGGATAGGAGTCCCAGACGCAACAGAAATGGTTGGGCACACATACACACACATTATATATATATATATATATATATATATATATATATATATATATATATATATATATATATATATATATATATATATATATATATATATATATGACAGTGTCAGACCACGGAGGAAAATTGAAACAGGAATTTCCTTAAGTACTTTCGTATATTAATACATCTTCAGAAGGAACACTCCTTCTGAAGATGTATTAATATACGAAAGTACTTAAGGAAATTCCTGTTTCAATTTTCCTCCGTGGTCTCACACTGTCACATTTTTAATCACGTGTTTATTTTCGTGATATAAACACACACACACACACACACACACACACACACACACACACACACACCCACACACACACACACACACACACACACACACACGCGCACACACACACACACATATATATAAAGAGAATGTCTGTCCAAGGTTGGAAGCCAGACGCTTGGGGCTAGCCTCACCCAACTTTGCAATGTAATTACCTAAGTGTAGTTACAGGATGAGAGCTGCGCTCGTGGTGTCCTGTCTTCCCAGTACTCTTTGTCGTATAACGCTTTGAAATTACTGACGGTTTTGGCCTCCACCACCTTCTCACCTAATTTGTTCCAACCGTCTACCACTCTGTTTGCGAAAGTGAATATTCTTATATTTCTCCCGCAGCTTTCTTTAGTTAGTTTAAATCTATGACTTCATGTTCTTGAAGTTCCAGGTCTCAGGAATTCTTCCCTATAAATTTTGTCAATTCCTGTTACTATTTTGTACATAGTGATCATATCGCCTCTTTTTCTTCTATCATCTAGTTTGGCATATTTAATGCCTCTAACCTCTCCTCGTAGCTCTTGTCCTTCAGTTCTGGGAGCCACTTAGTATCATGTCTTTGCACCTTTTCCAGTTTGTTGATGTGCTTCTTAAGATATGGGCACCATATAACCGCTGCATATTCCAGCTTTGGTCTAACAACTGTCGTGTTTTATTTTTTTATTTTTTTGCCATCCATGTATTTAAAAGCAATTCTGAAGTTAGAAAGTGTAGCATAGGCTCCTCGCACAATGTTCTTTATATGGTCTTCAGGTGATAGTTTTCTATCTAGAACTACCGCTAGATCTCTTTCTTTATCAGAAATCTTTAAAAAAAAATTACACTATAGGTTGTATGGGGTCTGTGTTCTATTCCACATTCCATAACATGGCATTTATTCGCATTAAATTACATTTGCCAAGTAGTGCTCCATATACTTATTTTATCCAGGTCTTCTTGAAGGGCAGGGGAATCATCTAATCAGTGTGATTGGTCTGGGGTGCGGGCCGGACGTACTCAAAACCCAGATGTCGAGTACACAATGTGTCAACTTTGTGAAAGAGAAAACATGCACTCACTTGAACATTATATTGTAGGATGTCCCATATTGACTGACTTTTGCCTTCCTGGGCTGAGGTATGCTGAACTCTGTAACTACTATATGAGTACTGGAACACTTGATGATATATTGGACTTGTACCCTAGATTAACCATGTAATGTAACTATATAACCTGAGCTTGTAAAACATCTTAATCACCTTCAGTGGTTAAGTTCTTAATTGCATACTAGTTTCTCTGTCGGCTATCTCACCCTGTCAGAGTAAAAGAAACAAATATATGTGTACGTATGTGTGTATGTGTATAAAGTATATGTGGAAGCTGATCAGAATTACATTTCACCATTATAAATTCACATTAATACATTCATAAATCTGTGTATCTGTATTTACGCGTGTAGCTTAGCCTAACATTTTAAAAGCACTACGATCACCTGTGGTTGTTCAATAAATCTCTGAACTGTATGTTTGACAAATCTCTCACCCTGTCCATGGAGGACAGAAGAAAATGTATATATGCTGGTTAGCATTGTAAATGTGTGGGCACGTCTGTGGTAGAAAATAATAATAATATTTTTTTTGTTTCTAAACTAAACAATTGTTATTTAAAATAAGGACAATCAGTATTACTGTAAACATATAGTATCATGCAGTGAGCACCGAAGAAAATAGCACTGCTCTAAGATACAGTGTATATGCCACAAATAGGATAATAATTTTGTATTTGGTATTAGGGGAAATAGTGTGGAATGTCACTATCGAAATTAAGGTTAGTTTGTCTAAATTTAAACCCACACGCACACAGCGGGACCAAAGAGCCAAAGCTCAACCTCCCTGAGCACAACTTGGTGAGTATACACACACACGTTCAGGAATCTGTATACACCGGTTGATTGACAGTTGAGAGGCGGGACCAAAGAGCCGAAGCTCAAGCACAACTAGGTGAGTACATGTTACGTACCCTTATAAGATACGTAAGTAAATATATTAATATGTACATTTATAATTGTGTATAAATTACAAGCATGTATATTGTTATACTTATATATGTTCTATGCAAACGTACATTCATGTTACAGTGTTGGCGTTAGGCCCAACGTATCGTGGGAATGATTGTTTTATTTCTTTGTGTGATCAGTTTTCCCACGGGAACTAATGATTTATATGTGATCATAAGTGGGTAACAGAGGTGAATAATAATTGAGTGAACTGTATCTGGCAAATTGTCGTGGGATCGTCCGTTGCTGGGTGTGCATGCCATTATTCCCTTCTGTAGGCATATTTTAATTACTATGTAAAGAAACTATTACTTTAATTTGTGTATATCAATATGTATTAATTATTCATTAAGTTAGTTTAAGATTACTCTTGTCACAATGTATTGCTCCATTGTTGAAATAATAAATATTGTAACTTTGGCAATTTATTCGCGGGGCAAGGCAATCTGTTTTGATTCCCGTGTTATGTTATTCAGTAGCTGAACGGGAACCAGAGAGATAACATCTTGGAGTTAAGTTACATTTTTGTTCTGTCATAGCCATACATATATTAATATTGATTTAATGTCTGGAAGATACAGTGATATTTTTAATGTGATAGATTGTGACCATATAATCATCTGTTTGCTTTTGAGATTTATTTAATATATATATATATACTTGTTGGATCTCTTCTTCAGTCCTATGAAGATTTATTATTGTGCTCATTACTTATCAAGGGGTTATACTGGTGATTCGCTATTGAGAACAGCAGTTGTGTCGTATCCCTAGACGTAATTAAAGTTTGGCTGCTGTAGGATCACGAGCCTTAACGTACGATAGGTAACAGTACACACGTAGATAATTACACATACGACCCCCCATCAGCTGTAAGAATTCAATTAAGGATGGAATTCGTAAATTATTATTATCTCAACCCGACTTGTAAGCCTCTTTGAAATCGATTTATTGTTAGGTTGTTTTAATGGTACATACTTCATTCAATGTTAAATATTAGGCACAGGTTAAAGCACCGCGGGTAAGCACGAAACTTAACACTTCACTACAATCTCTACAAACAACTGTACTGATTCACTCAAATTTTAACTGGGAATCCGAACTAAAAAGTATCCATAACATTAACGTAATCACCAATATCTGAGCTAACTGGAAATGACTAAATCTCCATATCACACTCACCTTTGCTCGCCAAACAAGTACGTAGTCAGAAATACGTAACAATCCTAGGCCTTCACATATCACAATTACAATTAATTTTCATATTTTTTTTCACTTATGATACAATTACAATTTTCATATTCTATTGGCAATATGAATATGAAAAGAACATAGGCTTGGTTTTCTTATGAAAAAAATTAATTAGTGAAGACATTCAACACTAACTACTATAAAACTACAAGAGCGAATCTGTCTTTGGAAACAGGCTTAAAATAAACAGCGTAAAAACGAGAAGCCAGTGGAAAATCGTCTCAAACATTCTAGTATCTAACCAACATTCAACAAACATATGAAACTTGTCCAAGACGGATGTTCCTTGGGCGCAGGTTGCGAAACTGTCATTAAATTCATTAGCTCCTCATCAATTGGGGTTAACCTTGCCAGAAATGTCCCAGAGACCCAGATAAACTTTGCCACTTGCCTAGTCCCAATCGGTCCCCCAATCTCCATAATATATACACTCAAAACCGCAGTCTGTAATACCAGTGGAATACTAATCATGATGTACAAAAATGCTAATCATGGGGGTCGTTTCTGCCATTCTCTGCTCCTCAACAAATCTCTCTATTCTGAAACCTTTTCTGATGTACTTAAACAAGCTAAACTATAATTCACAAACGGGGGATTCTGTAATACCACTGACATAAACAACTATAGACTGATATAAATTCTTTCAATATTATTAAATAAATACATAATACTTTCATGCTAGGAGGATGGGCTGCTTTAACTCTAGGGGACGCCGAGTACCGTATTAGATGAAAGTTCACTATCTTCCATTAGCCACTCATGTTA